GTATGTATACTAAAGAAATTTATCCTGTTGAACTTACTTTAAATAAAGCTAATACTAACAATGACCACTGCCTTTTCCTCGATCTTGATATCTATATCATTAACGGAAAGCTTAATACTAAAATATATGATAAAAGAGATGATTTTTCATTTCCTATCGTTAATTATCCATTTTTAGATGGTTACGTTCCCTTGTCACCATCTTACGGTGTTTATATATCTCAACTTGTACGATTCGCTCGTGTATGTAACAATGTTTTAGATTTTAACGAGAGAAATTTATGTATTACTGAAAAATTATTACACCAGGGTTTTCGATATCACAAACTAGTCAAAACATTTACTAAATTTTATCATCGGTATAAGGACATCATTCGTAAATATAGCTCAACATGCAGACTTCTTATACGTTCAGGTATTTCACATCCAATTTTTTATGGAAATATTCTTTATAAAGCACAAAAATGTCAGTATTCACCTCTGAAGCTAACAAAACCTTTAAATAGACTTATTAAGAAGGGATATAGTTACGATACTGTTGTCAGGTCATTAAAGATTGCATATTTTGGCGTTAATATTGATTCACTTATAGGGTCTTTGCATCGGCACTAAACACATTTATTTAAAAACCAGTTGTTGGCATGACACGGGTTATGTTCTTCTCATATATGTTATGATGGTATGATACTAAACCCCTAACGGGAAGGATTGTGCCTGATATTCATATGATGAAGACATAATCTTTCAATCAGTTTAATTGAAGTCTGGAGCTGGCATGTCAGTTAACTGCTAGTAGTCTGTTGTTATTTATGTATTATTGTCATTTTGTTTATTTTCTTTGGTTACATCTTCTGACATCAGACTCGGACTTCTCTTGAACTGAATTTTAATGTGCGTATTGTTATGCGTTTACTTTTCTACATTGGCTAGAGGTATAGGGGGAGGGTTGAGATCTCATAAACATGTTTAACCCCGCCGCATTTTTGCGCCTGTCCCAAGTCAGGAGCGTCTAGCCTTTGTTAGTCTTGTATTATTTTTAATTTTAGTTTCTTGTGTACAATTTGGAGTTTAGTATGGCGTTCATTATCACTGAACTAGTATATATATTTGTTTAGGGGCCAGCTGAAGGACGCCTCCGGGTGCGGGAATTTCTCGCTGCATTGAAGACCTGTTGGTGACCTTCTGCTGTTGTCTGTTCTATGGTCGGGTTGTTGTCTCTTTGACACATTCCCCATTTCCATTCTCAATTTTATTATTCAATAAGAGGTTACTTAAGAGACTATTTATTACCTTGACTAAGTGATTTTCAGATTAAAAGTTATTTTATTTTTATTATTATTTAATTACCAAATGTACTACTAATTTCTCTTCTACTATATATATTTTGTGTGGACCAAAAGAAAACAGTTATCTCCTCTTTCTCTTTTGGAATTAAACAAAATAATTCTTAATACATGTAATATATTATGTTTCCACTTTCTGAAAAAAATTTAAGTAACATACATTAACTTCATTAAATGGATTGTTTGGTCAATATCAAACAATCAGCTATATGTGACCTAGCATACCCAACTATATCAGTCCTATTCAGGACCGATAACTCTGTCGATAAATATTGTCGGGTATACAATGTTGTTGTAATCAGAGCATTTGTATTATATGTCTCTGTTGAAATGTATAACAATACAATAACAAATTTTTTTACACAAGTTTAACTTTATATCGATTTATTGAATGCCTGGATTTTGCTTAAAATATTGAATTAAAAAAATAAATAATAAAATCATATTCAATGAAATCTCGTTTAATTTTTTACGAAATAATACAAAATCCATTTAAATTAAAATTTGAATCAAAATATTTCTTAAAATAATTATAGAAACATAAATATTAGTTTGATTATCTTTTAAAGCAAAAATTATTTTTTATAATATTCATATTTTCTTAAAGTTTATTATGATACATACTTCTTCTGGTTTGACACGGGGAAGAGAAGATATTTATTTGTACAGTTATGAAAACTTTTGTATATCACAAAATTTAAACTCTGGTAATACATGTATACACAGGATGTTTAATATGTCACCTGGTTGCTTTTGGTTTGCACGTCTACCTGACAATATATTGTTATGTAACATTACATCCAAAGTCAGAGTTCACCTGTTCGTCAAGTGATGGGATCGTGAAGGTATGGAATATTTATCTATAATAATTGTTGGGATTTTTTTCTCTCTTGGGACGTAAATATTTTTTTGTTCTAAAAGGAAAGTATAAATATATTTCTAAAGAAAGATGAATTATACAGAAAACAGGAAAAAAACCTTTTAAAAAAGAAGAGAAAAATTTTTATTATAAATTTTATTGTTAACAATTTTCTGGTAACAGTATATCCTGGATACTAGTATCTGTCAAAATAAAATGTTCCCGTGTCACACTTAAAATAATATTTTTTTTATCAAGAAATTTTGAAATCAATCATATCGAAATGTCACCAAAGAAAATAACAGAAACATCAGAGATTCTACATGAAAAATTAAATTTAATCAAGGAAAGTCTTACTATACAAATCCTCGATTTGATGCAACATTTCCATATACATCATCCGCCATTTTGAAAAATCCCGAAATATTCACTTTTTTAAATCGATTTTTGACCGAAATTGCCCAGAAATTAAACTGTTTTAAATAGTATTTTTCGCCAGATATATGTTTGAATATACTAAATCGATTTGCAAAGTTTTATTTTTATTAACGGAATTTCTTTATTTGTTATACAAGTAGACATGGGTATCGGTACATTTAGCATTGAGTCAACGGAGAAATAACGAGAAAAGGTACATGTTTTTACGATTCTCCAGTGACAGAATTTAATCAAAAATTAAACTGTTAGGACCAACATTGCTTGATAGAAATATGTTTGAATATCAAGGATTGATTTGCAAAAGTTAGAAAACGGGTCAGGTTAATGAGAAAACTAAACTTTATTGAAGCACCTATGCATTTTATATGGGGCAATATAATACAAAATGGCGGCTAGTATACGTCACAAAAGTCACGTGATGTCTGACTTAGTTGGATATGGTTTCCCCAATATTCCCTCCCTCTTTTTAAACTCTTGAATATGATTTATTTTTGTTTTTTTTACAAAATTGTATTAAAATATTCATATTTTTATTTTCAAATAACATCTTGCACTGTTAGTATATGCTAGTATTTTATTACAATCCTATCATCAGATATTCTATTTGAATAAACAACTATCCCCCCTTTTTTGGGGCTTTCTGTATTATTTCTGTTTTTCCCTACTAAGTTATGTCAGAAAATACACATGCATTATCTGTAACTTCAACTTACTGTACTGCAGGTGTGAGAAATTATTCCATTTAGCCCAAATTAAACTTCATAATTGACAAAAATATAGTTTCTCATTAGCAAGTATTTACACACAGCTTGGAGCCAAAATGCACATTTGAAAATGATCAAATAACCTTCAAATAAAGGTTTACTATCAAGCTGAAAACACAGCCATATCCAAGCATTTTTATAACAAAGATTAAAACCAAAACTGCTATCAAACTGCTATTGAACTGCTGTCATAACTGTTGTCCAATTGACAAATTGACAACAGTTTAGAAGGTACATCCAGACTGCTAAGATGAATGCTAAGAGGAATGCTAAGAAATGGTGAAATAAGGTAGTTTCTCAAACTGCTATTAGATGGGATGCTATGAACAGCTGAAAGACTGCTAAAAATATGAAGAACTGGTAAATAACAGCTAATAAACTGCTAATGATAGCAGTTCAGTTTGACTTGGGTCTTCTCAAAGTTTTGAAGGACAAGACAAATTTGCACCCATGAATAACTTTACTTTTCAATACAATTTAGGCCACAATTAAAAATATTTTGATTTGCCCAAACCCTACCAAAAGGTAGAGACAGTGGGTAGGTAGGTAGGTAGGCATTTTCTTTTTTTTTTCAGCAAAGAGAAATTAAAGTGTCAGATGTTTTTTAGTCTTCATGCCTATCTGATTAAAAAAAAACTTTTTTACATCAGGACAATAAAAGATTTTGAGAAGGCAGATGTTTTCTGGGTAGGTAGGGTAAGGGCAAACAAATATATTCTTTTTTATGGCCTGATTCAAATCGTTATCTTTCCGTCAAAGTGTTTGGTTTTAGGTGACATTATTTAATGTCGTTTGTGGGCTTGTTGGGCATAAAATCTACGTCAGTACGTTGAGCTAAGGGAATCAACAGGGATAACTTCCTTATATGACTGTTTCGAATAACTGTTTTTAAAAGATAAAATTAATATCCTGAGGGTTGGATAATGTACATAACAATAAAGACCAGTGTTTGAAAAATGTCAAGCAGTCACAATTACTTTGTCAGTTCAAAGATACAGGGATCCAGTTAGCTCATGAAATGTTTAAATGATGTGAGAAATAAGTGTATTGTAAAAGAGTATTTCTGGTAATGGAAATGAAATGGATCAAACGTATTACTGTGAACTCTTGTTTGTAAATAAATAGATGGAGTGCTTTAAATTATTTATTTTTGTACAATTTCAAATAATCATAATGCATATATGTTACATTTGTTAATAAATCTGGCATTATCAGTCAGGGGACTTACTTCAATGAATGATTTCTAAATCACTGATTCTAGAAACATTTTGTCCACAAATTTTGGAAGTAAGAGTTGTCTTTCTTTGATAATCACCTACATGTATTTAAGTAGTACAAATAAATCACTAGACTAAGTGATTTAATTTTATTGTAGCTTTAAATATACAATCCGATTCCGCAATCTAGCTTAAGTTTCCCTCATCCAAATTTTATGAAACTCATACACAATGCTAAGAACGACAACACACAGACATAGCTCGAATTTGGGTAGTGAGTCAATTACCCTTCAAGAGAAATGCCCTTTTTAGCTTGAAAAATTGCGTAGCTAGAGCGGGTGCATTCGTGTCCTCAGACACTTTCTTTTATTTTTCTTCAGATAAACATCAACAGTGTCTTGCACAGTTACTCAGAACAGAAGGAAAAATCAAAGCAGAAAAGATCAAGTGTCTTCTGGCCATGCACTACTTCAAACCATTGGCTTTTAATGGTGAATATATTGTCGACAGTTGCCATGGATATAGAAAATGTGAACTGTGTAATGAACCAGTCAAGGCTGATCAAAAACTGACCTCCTTTGGTAAGTGTAGAAAATAGGTCTACATGTATTGTATGGACATAATATATTGTTTTCCAAATGTTAAAGGGAGCTTTTTGCTGAAAAATTTATGAAAAAAAATGAATCTCTTCTGATGGGGCCAAAACCGGTAAATGACAAGAAATTATAGGTTGTTGGAATTTTTTCGGGTGAAATTAGCCCTGGTGTTTATGGTTTGTTGAGATAAATCATTACTCCTACAGATTTCAAGCAAGACCGTTTTTTACTTTGCAGAATGATTGTACAAATATTGAAGGTGTGCATATTACATGGGCGTATATACCACCACAATAAAATTAAGCTGTTATATTATTTGATGGGTCTGTCTTCCATCTGTAGACACATTGCTTTCAATGCAGCAGCTTTTGTTCCTGATTTCCAATAAATTTCAACACAATAATTCTAGGTACAAATAAAGCTTAGTATTGTAAATGGAGGGTCTGGCCCTACCCGTTTGAAAAAAGGGCCAAATAGGGCTTTAGAATGGTTTCAACTTTTGGGTATGGAGTGTTCATTCTTGCTTTTCTATTTCAAGTCTGATTTTGACCAAAAAAAATTGAGGGTATATTTATTTTATTGAGTATACAATAAGGATAGGAGATGGATTTTATTTTTGTTCAAGTATATTGTTTTTCTTAAATTGTTTAACATTTCACAGCTGTATAACATGTTACTTTAATTATTCTTCCCTTAGTTTATTTATTTTGTATTTACATTGTATCATAGATCAAATTTATTTGTTCAGTGTATGTTCACTGGTGTTAATATGTCTTTTGATTGAGTTAAGCCATTTCAATTGATATTTTATAGTGTGTTTTTCTATGTTGTGATGTTACACTATTGTTTCAGATAAGGGTGATGGTTTGGTACAAAATGTTTTAAACCCGCTGCAATTGTTTGCACCTGTCCTGGAATCTGATGTTCAGTAGTTGTCGTTTGTTGATGTGGTTCATAAGTGTTTCTCGTTTCTCGTTTTTTATATAGATTAGACCGTTGGTTTTCCCGTTTGAATGGTTTTACACTATTAATTTTTGGGGCCCTTTATAGCTTGCTGTTCGGTGTGAGCCAAGGCTCCATGTTGAAGACTGTACTTTGACCTATAATGGTTTACTTTTATAAATTTTGACTTGGATGGAGAGTTGTCTCATTGGCAGTCATACCACATCTTCTTATATCTATTTAACTATCGGCAGCCATTTTTGTGAAAAGGGGTCCAAGGGGCCAAAAACTATACGTGTATATACAAATGTATGGTAAAAAATCAAAAATCCTGGAACAACATGAACAATTGGGACTAAATTAAACTTAACTGGATTGGTCCTTAGATGTTCCCTGTCCAGAGTAATGTCCCTTGGAACCCAGCCACCAATTAAGATGGCTGCTATTCTTGAAAATGGAAAATTTGGCAAAAGATAATTGAAATCTTCTCCTTTGAAATTACTGGGCCAATAGGTTATCAAACTTGAATGGTTTGGTCCTTGGGTTGTCCCTTTTAAGATCATAGAGTACGACCCCAGCTACCATCAGAATGGCATGTGTTACTAAAATTATAACTTAATGCAGACTTAGGCTTGTGGTATATCACAAGACTCAAAATGGAAAGTGCTGTTGAAGCGAGATGTGATTTGTTCATTGTAGCATCTTGGAAGCTATATTATTTCCCAAAGTGCTGATGGTACCAAAAATTTAGTTTGATGCAAAACATAGACTTGTGCCATGTATGTAAGCTTGTGACAAATCATAAGACTTGAAATGGAAAGTTCTCTTGAGGCATTATGTCAGTTATGCATTACAACATTCTGATAGCAAAATTTTTCCCAAAATGGCTGCTGTTCCTATAAAACTTATGTCAAATGGTTAAAAACCAATTTATATTAAGCCTGAATTGGCATAAATTTGAATTGTAGATGGATTATGAGTGCTTTAACATATTGAATGTTTGCTGATTATGCAAACTAGACATAAAGTAGCAAATCTATCATTTAAAAAAATCAATTCAAAAACTACTTGGCCAATTTGAACAAAACTTAGCCCAAATGGTTTTTGTCAACCCTGCAATATTTATGTAGCAAAAGCTAGACATAGCAATCCTAGATTCTGTCGGCAGTGTCAACATTTATGTTCAGTCTGTGGTTAAAGTTTTTTTAGACATCAATAACTTTGTTAATCCTTCATGGAATTTTATGAAATTAGGACAGAAGCTTGTTTATGACCAAAATACAGTATCCAGAGCATAATTTTGAAAATATTTATTTTCATTTTTCCATATTTTACTGATAAATGGACTTAGTTTTTTAATGCCCCACCTACGGTAGTAGAGGAGCATTATTTTTTTTACGGTCTGTGCGTCTGTTCCTCTGTCCGTCTGTCCCGCTTCAGGTTAAAGTTTTTGGTCAAGGTAGTTTTTGATGAAGTTGAAGTCCAATCAACTTGAAACTTAGTACACATGTTCCCTATGATATGATTTTTCTAATTTTAATGCCAAATTAGAGTTTTGACCCTGATTTCACGGTCCACTGAACATAGAAAATGATAGTGCAAGTGGGCATCCATGTACTATGGACACATTCTTGTTTTACAGTTAACAAGTAGTAGTCTGGGGTTAAATATAAAAATAAGGTGATGTGGTATGATTGCCAATGAGACAACTATCCACCAAAGTACCAATGAAGTGGATGGAAACAATTATAGGCAACCGTAAGGCCTTCAACAATGAGAAAACCCCATACCGTGTAGTCGGCTTTAAAAAGCACCTGACATGAAAAATATGAAACAATTCAATTGAGAAAACAAACGACCTAATTTATTACAAAATAATTTACGAAAAACAAATATGACAGACATGAACCAACGACAACCACTAAACAGGCTAGGACAGGCACATAAAGAATGTGACAGGGTTAAACATGTTAGTGAGGAGGATTTTGAAAATAAATAACTCAGCCTTGATAATCACAAAAATAAATAGTTTGTCCTGTGTTAGTTCGAAAATAAATAACCTGACTTACAATGTATTGAAAATGAATAACTCGGCAGGTCTTTAAGCCATTTTATAAATGCTATTCGAAAGTATGAGGTGGCACCAGATTCTTCTTAAAATTCATCTTTTTTCAAAAAAAAATTTGGGAAACACTTCCCAAATCTCTTAATAATAAAGGTATAAATATTATTCAAATATACTTGAAATGTCTGAAAATGGGTTTCATTTAACTTGAGGTATATTGGCTCAGGAACACTTACCTCACTTTTATTACAGGGCTGTAACTACATTGAGATAAATGCCTTTATGTAGGAAATTTTAAAACCAAAAGCTTGTCTTCATATCAAATTGTTTTCACAATTGTGTTTGCAAGAAGCAAGTTCTGTTCTCCCTTGGACGTAACTACCTTAAATTGTATCCCAGTTAAGAGCTACATCAAGTTGTAATTGAAATGTGTTATTAAAAATTACTTGACAAAGTTATATCACTGATAATCAGCCCCCTCTTAACTTAATTTGAATAAAACCCCATATAATTTACAGGTATAAAAGATTTAAATTCTGCATGCCGAAAACAGCAACAAAAAAAAAAAAAAAAAAAAAAAAACAGCAGCCACATACTTTACTATGTGAATTACATTTTTACTTTATTCTTCATATTGGTCTTTTGATGTTGTCCATAAAAACTTAAGTCTTACGCTGAATCTATACATTTTGCTTTGAGACCAAAATATTGTCAAAAAATTATTAAAACAGAACTTGCGTTTTCAGAATAAGAAAGGGACTGGGAATGCCCAGAAAGCACGATTTTGCATCATTTGTTCTATAGTTTCTTTGGGCCTTCAGCGGCTTCAAAACCCTACAAAATTTTTTTGCCTCGCTCCGCTCGGCGTAAATATGTTTGGCAATACTTTTAAAAGAGGCTAGTCACAGCCCAACTCTAATACCGTGTATGTATGCAATACATGTATATGCAGTTTGGAATTCAGAAGATTCATTTCCGCAGAGGATGATGATTAATTCTGATTAAATGTTTTCAAATATTATCAATATAGTTATGAAAATGAATAATCAGTCCCTTGTTTTAATGAAAATGAAAAATCTTGCTTCAACAGTGCAGAAAATAAATAATCTGTCCTCTTAGTTTACAAAAATAAATAACCGATCCAAAACAAATCCTCCTGGCCCCCCCCCCCCCCCCCCCCCCCCCAGAATATCAAATGGTTGTCCCCTAACCTTCAAGACCAAGAAATAGCATTTAAATAAAAATTTGATTTTTTTTTAAATTCTGTATTTTACTGATTAATGGACTTACTTTTTAAGTCAACATTACACTTTTACACTGACAGCAGCAATTGCAGGTGAGACATAGGGTTCCATGGAACCCCTAACGAATAGATAGGGCTATAACTAAATACAGAAAAAAACAGCTGATGTTACTTAAAAAGAAATTTCAGCAAAATGACAAAATCACTTTATTTTAAGCCAGAATGGGCTCAAATTTAAACAGTATATGAGGTTTTCATCATGTACATATGCTTAAATGGAATCAATTTTGTCAGATCTGAAACAGGAGCACTTGAGGCTCTTCAAAAATTTATGTGGCTGAATCCACTATGATTTAATAGATAATGGTACTGTGAAGTTAAATAATTCAGGGCTGTTTGAAGTCATGAAAATTTGTCGCATTAAATTATTTGAAAATATATATAATATATATACAACAAACTATGTAAATGTACATGTAAATGTTATGTTGGTTTAAATCTTATTGAAAAATAAAATTAGATTCAAAATTGTACAAAAAACCACTTATATATATATATATTTTATTTACTGTTTTTTTTTTTTTTAATTTTAATTTTCTGGTTTACCTTTCTATTTTTTCATTTTTTTTCACTTTCTTCCATCATTTTTTTCCCTACTTTTTCTCTTTTTTTTCACTTTTTTTTCAAGATTTTGGAGGGATGAAAAGGGGTGCTTATTATACACAACTGTGTACTATTCACGGCTAAATACGGTAAACATGGTTCTTTATGAAATACACAAGTATAAGAATACTTTTTAAAGTTTACAGTATTTGTCACTGCTTATGAAGCTAAAGTTTATTCTTTCATGTCTATTCTTTCTTAAAGGAAACAGTTTAGTATGGCATGGTCAAGCTGATATATTTGTAGCAAGAAGTGTTGTTAAAATTGAGCTAGAAGAAGCACTCAATAACATGAGCCTGAAAGAAGATGAAGAGGAGGAAGGTGTTGAAGATAGTAAATATTCAAGCATGGCTGAGGAATCCAAAGAAGAAGTTAAAACACTATCACATGCGATTGCAGAAGCAATTGTAAATGCCTTTTGTGAATCAAGAGGAGATGAGTCATTGTTTGACAAATTTATTCCCTCATTCTTGGCAACAGAAAAAAATATCAGAATTATTCTGTATAACTGTAAGTTTGATAAACTTCTTTTAAGTACTGAATTTCCAATTTGGGATGGCAAGCAATTGAATATCAAAACAATGATGCAAGTGTGGCTAACAATTAACTTTTTGGAGAAGATGAATAATCTGCCCTGTGCTCTTGATAATTCACAGGAATCTAAGTTCAAAGAGGTTGTTGGAGAAAACTATGGAATATACTTGAGAAGCATGACACGGCCAACTACAATATTAGAGCCTAGGGATTTGGTACATATGGAATTAGATAAAGCAGACCTCAAATTAATAATGGACACTAATTTAGAATTTTTTAAGATGTATGAAAGCCTGTCTGAATCTGGATCCTGATCTTTGTGTCTATTTGAAATAGCATGATGATCTCTTATTTTGAACATTGTTTTAGACAGATAAATATGTTGGCAGATATTAAAGCAATTTTACTATTACATGTATTAGTGTACCAATATAATTGTCCATCGCTGAGTTAAGGATTTATGCAGTGTAAAGATTTTATATATATACAATATATGTCATGTATGTACATTGTCTGAAAATATAAAATTTATTTGTATGAACTTTAGAAACATGACGAAGAGGGAGGCTTGCAGAGCTTTTCTCTTCTTTCGTAGCGAGTACAAATAAATTTTATATTTCTGACTGTACATTATGTAACATATATTGTTTTTTCTGTAATTTACACCAGGCATTTAAAGGTTCAGTTGTTTAAACATGTGTTAAATCCAATAGTTGTCTATGATTTTTCAAAGAAATCAACATAGTTTAAATGTGGACAATTGATAGGACTCCAAAATGAACTATTACGCAAAAAGAAATATTCTCATTAGGCCTGAGAACATAGTTATCTCGCAGTGCATTTCTTTAGAAAATAAATTAAAAAAATTGCACCTGCTTTAAATTATCTCAAAAAGATTTTTACAGTGTATTGTACTACTATTGGGACAAATAATATCAAAATTATAGAAAAGTCTACCAGCTCTAACACAAAATTTTGACAATTCTATGTTAAGGGGGTCTAAAATTCAGTTTGACAGCTTCAGACATACTAATTTTTTACCTCTTTTAACTGGACCAAATCACTACTTAATTTAACATAAAGATTCAGCACCCAAATATTTTTTAACATGTAATTTCATCCCCTTACTTAACATTTCATGCATAAAATATAAAGAAAAAATTTGGAAAGTGTATGAAAAAAATTTGCAAGTTATACACTCTCCACAATAGGGACTATATTTGTAGACAACGAAAAACAAAGGACAATAAGTTGAACTCTGCTTATGAAAAAGTGGAGAAAATCAATAATAAAATGATGCCAGTGACGATACTGATCAAAAGTTCTTTCTAAACAACAATCGTACATTTTAAAGAAGTTATTTGTTAAACTGTGTTATTAGAAATATACATGCAAATCCACAATGTTTTATGTTTAGTATTTATCGAGATAATTGTGAAACTGGAATTTAAAAAAAGTTAATCTTTTGTGCATATTGATAAAAAAAAATTTGGAAAAAATCTTGCACATACACAATCTAAAGATCTTTTTAGATACCAAATTTCGGAGTGTTCCTCAAAATCCTTAGCATATAACAAATTCCCAAAATATACCCATTCTTAACATCAAAGTTAAGAGTACATGGGTCTGCTCATGTCAAAAGAACATTCATTATAGAAATATTGTTTTTTTCGTGAATATAACAATTTGAAAGTCTGTCAAAAATTGAAGTTAAATATTTCTACAAAGTAGGTTATCAGTTAAAAAGTTTTACTCACCTGCAACGAAAGTAACAGTATGCGAGACATCTAGGTATTACTATCTGGTGGTGGTGGCGATATAAACTATTTGTATAAAGCTTTATATTTCAGAAGGTAGAAGACCTGGATGCTTCATATCTTTTATGCAGATACCTTATGTTACGAAGTTTCTGTCTGTCATATGTCCATTGTCCTTGACCTCATTTTCATGGTTCAGTGACTGCTTGGAAAAAAATCATTGTTATTTTGTCATGTGAATTTCTCTCTTGATGAGTAATTGGATAACTATATTTGGTATATGTGTTCCTTGCAACGTCTACATGTCCGTCAGACAGAGTTCACCTGACCTTGACCTCATGTAATGGATCAGTGATCAAGGTTAAAATTACGTGATTAGGTCCGTTTTCCAAACACTATAAGTAGTAGGTCAACTATATGTGGTGTATTGAATGATTGTAATGGGTACATGTCAGTCTGTTTTTGTCGCGCCTGCGACGAAAGTCGCAGTATGCGAGACATAGGTATTACTATTCGGCGGCGGCGTAAACTATTTGTATAAAGCTTTATATATCAGAAGGTACAAGATCTGGATGCTTCATATCTTGTATGCAGATACCTTATGTTAACAGTTTCTGTCAATCATGTATCCATTGTCCTTGACCTCATTTTCAAGGTTCAGTGATCAAGGTTTAAGTTGATTAGGTCCGTTTCTCAAATACTATAAGCAGTAGGTCAGTTCTATATTTGGTGTATGGAATAATTGTAATGGGTACATGTCAGTCTGGCAGGTTTCATCTTACCTTGACCTCATGGTTCATTGGTCAGTGTTAAGTTTTTATGTTTTGGTCTGTTTTTCAAGTACTTTAAGCAATAGGTAAACTATATTTTGTGTTTGTAATCATTGTTGGGTGTACGTACAAGTCTGTCTTGCAGGTATCATCTGACCTTGACCTCATTTTCATGGTTCATTGGTCAATGTTTAGTTATTGTTTTTTGTCTAGTTTTCACCTACTATAAGCAATAAGTAAACTATATTCGGTGTATGGAATGATTGTAAGGTGTTCATGTCTGTCTGGCAGGTATCAGCTGACCTTGACCTCATTTTCATTGTTCATTGGTCAATGTTAAGTTTTTGTGTTTTGATCTGTTTTTCAAGTACCATAAGCAATAGGTCAATTATATTTGGTGTATGGAATGATTGTAAGGTGTACATGTCTATCTGGAAGGTATCATCTGACCTTGACCCCATTTTTATGGTTAAATGGTCAATGTTAAGTTTTTGTGTTTTGGTCTGTTTTTCAAATACTAATAGCAATAGCTATTAGGTCAGCTGTATTTGGTGTATGGAATATTTGTAAGGTGTACATGTCCGTCTGGAAGGTATCATCTGACCTTGACCTCATTTTTATGGTTCAATGGTCAATGTTAAGTTTTTGTGTTTTGGTCTGTTTTTCGATTAGCATACACAATAGGTCAACTATATTTGGTATATAAAAAATTGTAAGGTGTATATGCCTGTCTGACACAATTTCTCTGATCTTGGCCTTATTGTCATAATTTTTTAAAAATGTGAAGTTTCTGTAATGCTTTTAGTAAAACCTTTATATTTAAGACTTTCAACATAAAATCAATGGTCAGTAAAGCAGGGGAGACATTTAAGTGTGTGCCCTCTTGGTTTTTCATTTTTGACTATTATTTTGAAAATTATAATAGATAGAGATATATTTAATTAGGAAAATTGATTAGCAAGACAAGATCTACAAAAAAGGTCAATTGGCTTGAACACTGGCTAAAATCTAAGTCGGCTCATAAATGGAGTTATTTACCATACCATTTACTTGTTTTTAATCATATGTCCTCAATATAACTTTTTGGGGCATTATGATACTGTAAACAATAGTTGTATTTCAGATCTAACCTTCATTCTTGTAAAGAAAATAAGCCACTGCCTTCGATATTTTGAAAACTATGAATAAAGGGAGATAACAGGGTTAAGATAAATGACACCACGAGTTGGTTATGATGAACTGGTCTTCTTTGTTCAAATTCTTGTATTCATCGTCTGACAAAACACTTCAGTCAGAGCAGTTACTTACAACTTGAATTAAGGAAGTATTAAAGCTTTGTGGATTATGTTTAGTGAATGCTTCCCACTCTACCAAAACACTGATTGTGATATATTGTGAAAAGACCCCCTTCTGGATTATGTTTAGTGAATGCTTGCAACTCTACCTATAAACTGACTGTGATACATTGTTAAGACCCCCTTCTGGATTATGTTTTAGTGATTGTCTGCAACTCTACCTATACACTGACTGTGATACATTGTGAATAGACCCCCTTCTGGATTATGTTTTAGTGATTGTCTGCAACTCTACCTATACACTGACTGATACATTGTGAATAGACCCCCTTCTGGATTATGTTTAGTGACTGCTTACAGCTCTAGAGTACCTATACACTGACTGTGATACATTGTGAATAGACCCCCTTCTGGATTACGTTTAGTGACTGCTTACAGCTCTAAGAGTACCTATACACTGACTGTGATACATTGTGAATAGACCCCCTTCTGGATTATGTTAAGTGACTGCTTACAGCTCTAGAGTACCTATAAACTGACTGTGATACATTGTAAACTGACCCCTTCCTTCTAGATTATGTTTGGTGAATGCTTCCAACTCTTTATATTGATTCAACATATCCAATGAATACGTAAAATAAAACATCAGGACGGACAAGTAAAGTAAGATGACATACCTTCACATTAAAATTTTACAGTTGTACAAGACCGTCAACTAAGGACTGAACAAATTTAAAGCCAGGCAAGTGAAAGAATAAGAGTGCTAGAGCTGAAAGGTATCGCATGCTGTGCTGACCATGATTGATTTAATGGTGAAAGTCTAATAAATAAAGGTTTTACTGCAAGTATCACAGAAGCTTAACCTTATAAATGGCTGATGGTAATAAGGTCAAGGTCAGATAAACCCTTGCAGACATACATGTACACTTAAAATCATTCCATACACCAAATTTAGTTTACCTTTTGCTTATAGTATCAAAGAAACAAACCAAACACTGAAAACTTAACATTGACCAATGAACCATGAAAATGAGATCAAGGTCAGATGATAAATGACAGACAGACATGAAGACCTTTCAATCATTCCATGCATTAAATATAGTTGACCTATTGCTCATAATATCTAAAAAAAAAACTGGCTTAACCAGGAAAACTAAATATTAATAAATGAATCGTGAAAATGAGGTCAAGGTTAGATGAACCCTGCCAGACAGACATGTAAACCCTACACAATCATTCCATACACCAGATATAGTTGACTATTCTTATAGTATCTGAGAAGAGGACCAAACTACAGAAACTTAACATTAACCAATGAACCATGAAAGTGAGGTTACGGACAAATGATACCTGTCAGGCAGACATGAACACCTTGCAATCATTGCATACACCACATATAGTTGACGTACTGCTTATAGTATAGTATCTGAGATACGGACCTAATTACGTAACTTCAACCTTGATAACGTAATAGTTATACACCGAGGGATAGGTGTGTCTGGATAAGAAACCCCGTCGGCCGGAGGCCGGAGGGGTTTCTAATCCAGACACGCCGTATCCCGAGGTGTATAACTAACTTACATCCCATTCTAAACCCTATATTTGTTAACATTGATTATTAAATAAAAAAAAACGATAGCATATTTATTGACAATATCAAACCATGATTTATAAGAATGTTTTTTATTACATGAAACCCAACTAGTAACCTTACTTTGGTTATCTTCGTTCAAACTTTGACAAGTGAGTATATTTTACAAATGTCAAAGTTGTTTTGCATATTCGCGTTAAATTCTGTGCTAATATGGATCAGCAGGTCAAGGTTGACTCTTTCGTGTATTCTTATTACAAACAAAAATACAGTTGTCAATATGGACGGGTATAAGACGGACGACATTTTATGGCAAGTGTTGGATTTGGTAGAAGAGACTAAAGATAAAGGCAATATTATAACCCAAAGTACTTACCTGTATCAGTTTAATAAAGGTAATCATAACTGTATTTTATATCTTACGATTTTATCAAAAACAAAAGCCCCCCTCTCGAGAAAAATACAGTTAAAATCCCCATTTTTTTATTTAAAGATCAATGCTTTAGAATAGAGACATATGACTGGGATAAGAAAATTACCTTAAAAAAAAAAGAGTATTTAAAGGATTATTTTTGTATTCCATATATAGATGCTTATTGGAATTTCCTAAAATGTGTGTTTTTTTTATATCATGAAACAATTTGTAGTGAACACTATTACTAATTTCTTATGTCCATGCTATTTAAAAAATAATTTATTTCTATTGTTACGAATAACAATGGACTTTGTTTGCGGGATGTAGAAGCAGGGGTTTGAACAATAGATCTATTCAATTAACACTTGTTTCAGAAATAGAAACTATGAAGTATAACAATCGAACTGGGGTGTAATGATCAATGAAATGAGGTAGAGGTCAGGTGAACCCTATCTGGGGCCATGTAGACATAGTAAGGAATCCATATACTAACTAGTCTATAGTTGTCCTATTACTCGTGAGAAATTCAAATAAAAAAATGTTTTCACGCATACGTTGAACCATGAAAATGAGGTCATGGACCATAAACATATGACAGACGGAAACTTCGTAACATAAGGTTTGAAGCATCCAGGTCTTCTATCTCTTGAAATATGAAATATATATAAATAAATTACACCGCCTCCGGATAGTAATCCCTATGTCTCCCATTCTGCGACTTTCATCGAAGACCAGTCAAGAGGAGGGTACACTTCTCCCACCTCCCACTTTTAGAATCTTTTTTTCTCTCTCCCACCCCCCATAAAAAAATATGGTTATTTCCATTTCCGAAACGCCTGTCCCTACGGTTTGTATGACATTTTTTCCCCTCTCAAAATGGGTCCCTCAAAATGAGTCAAACATGAATTCCGACGGCGAGTGTTTACAAGTGATCGACGACCTGGAGAAGTTACTGAAAACCAATACTATATAAAGCAGTAAACAAATGCAAATTTCCATTAGTGAAACACCATCATAAAAGTGCATTCCTGTACAAAATCGTTGAAGTATTTATATAAACAAGGTAAAAACAGCACATACGTGCTTATCATGACTCAAACATGTCCAAGGACGAATACCTTTTCACGTTGTTTATAAATATTAAAAGTGTCATATGATCCATAGAAAACATTCAGTTAAATTTATCATTATCTTTATTAATTATTTCAAAAATGAAACAAACTAATAATACTAAGTAAATGTGAATACCTGAAAAACACAAATAATCAAACAAAAATATGTTCAAACCACGATTCCAGTTTTAAACACAATTATACGGCCATCTAATCGAAGTCTTACATTCAAATATATTACACATTCATTCATAACGAATCCTCGTGATTCCTAGAGTTAGACACATAAAGCACTAATGAGACATTCATCACGTTTATAATTAATAGTTGAATTCATCAAATTCTTTAAACATGTTTTGGCTGCTATCAACTGGTTTGATTTGACCCTTTTGTAAGAATGCGCCTCCGAGACCCGGCGAGCTTACTCCTTTCGGAGAACCTGACGGAGAGCCCTTTTCTGGACTTTCATACCACCAATTCTGATGTACGGGATCTTTTCCCTGTTGTCCCGAAGATGCTGTTTGAGCTGCTCCTTGTGCTGGTGGGGCATTTACATCTTTTTTGTCCATATTTACGGTTCTGAAAAAGTTTTAAAACGAATAAGAATACTTATTGTTTCGATCAAGGGTCCTTGATCGGTAGTATGACATTCACATATACAAACATTGCACTATGATTTTGTAACAAATTTCCACATTGAAATGAGCTATTATACATATAGAAGGCCCCCTATAGAAAGCTCGCCGATTTATTGTTCTCGAATTTTCTTATTATTCGAGCAATCTCTTTTCCCTTTAATTACGGTGCCCACCAGTGTCACTGTGATACATTGTACATAGACCCTTCCTTCTTGATTTTGATCAGTGAATGTTTAATTGATTTAAGCATGTTAAGCACATGGTTTTTGTTTTTGTTTTACTGTATATTTTGCCGCATGCAGCTGTTATATTAATTAGGGCATGAATAGCTCACCCGAACTTGCCGATCCCCCCTTTTTATGCCCCCGCCGTAGCGGAGGGGGCATTACGTTTTACCCTTGTCCGTGTGTACGTACGTACGTACGAACGTACGTCCCAAAATTGGTTTCCGTTCTCTAACTTGAGTTTGCCTCAACCAAATGTTAAGAAACTTATACACATTGCTAATTACTACAAAACACAGATCAAGTTTGGATTTTGGTAGGGTCACTTTAACCGTTCTAGAGTTATGTCCGTTTAAAAATGGAAAAAATTACAAAATGTTATGAAACTTATACAGAATACTTATTACCACAAAACACAGATCGAGATTGAATTTTGGTAGCGTCACTTTGATCATTATTGAGTTATGCCCCTTTATAAATAGAAAAATTGCAAAATTTTTAGTTTCCGTTCTGTAACTTAAGTTTGCCCCAACCAAACATTATGAAACCTATACACAATACCATCCTTGACAATACTTATTACCTTAAAACTCAGATCAAGTGCAAATTTGGGTAGCGTCACTTTTATCGTTCTTGAGTTGTGTCACTTTATAATGTTGTATACATGCAAGCGGGGGCATCATCTGTATCCATGGGGACACATTCTCCATTTCTTTCTTTCTACGACACTCATGTCTCAAATCAATTTTTTTTAATCTAATTGTGTAATGCTCAGTATATAACGATTTATCTTTGACATATCACTAAAAATAACCTCCTGGGAGCGATCAATTAATTGATAACTACAAATTCGGCCGACTACTCGACTCTATCGAATCCTTAGAACATCGAAAGATGATAGACAGGGGTGAGTAAAAATTGGGATATTCTGGTGAAAATATTTTGAACAATTTTTGTCCGGGAGTAACGGGGGAGGGAATTGGGATTGGTAGTTGGGGAAGTGGGAATATGGACCCCTGTCCATCCCCTCTTGAAAAGACATGAAATATTACAACAACTCTGAAACACCTTATACTAAGGGCAAACGAATTTGTGAAAATGATAAATACAAAGTAATCTACATAAAAAAAAAAAAAAAAATCCAGAAGTTTAACAATCAAAAGATAAGACCAACAGCGATTCAATGCTTTCACCCACAGCTAGGTGATTAGGGCATTCGTGGACCCCCTTTTTATACGACCGCAAACAAATTTTGGGGTCGTATAATGCTATAACGTCGTCGTCGTCTGAAGACATTTGGTTTCCGGACAATAACTTTAGTTTATGTGTATGGATCTCTAGGAAATTTAACCAAAAGGTTCAATACCACAAAAGGAAGGTTGGGATTGTTGTTGAGGGTGATGGTCCCAACCGTTTAGGAATTAGGGGCCCAAAACAAGCATTTTTTTTCTAGTTTCAGGACAATAACTTGTGTATAAGTATTGTGATTGCTCTGAAATTGTACCACAAGGTTCAATACAACCAGTATAAGGGGTTTTTGGGGGTAGTTGCCCAAACCGTTCAGGAATTAGGGGCCAAAAAGGGTCTAAAACAATCATTTTTCTAGTTTTCAGACAATAGCTTGTGTTGAAGTGTATGGATGTCTCTTAAATCGTACCACATTTTACAAAAAGAAAATGTCTTCACATATTTTTTTTAAGGGGGTCAATTTTTTTTCCTCAAGATTTAAGAAATTGTCAATTTTACAAAGAAAAATTGGGGGTCACTATTTTGCTAATTCTTTGTAAATAGTCTGAAAACAGATTTACTAAGTATTGCGCAACAACACAGTGTATTGCACAAAAGCAAGAAGTCTTCAATTGAATATAAATTCAAATCATATAACCAATTTCAAGTTCTTTGACTACATTTTTCTGTGTCAGAAACCTATAATGTGTCAAATATTTAATTACAATCCAAATTCAGACCTGTATCAAGCTCGAATATTGTGTCCAATTTTGCCCCAACTATTCAGGGTTGGACGTCTGCGGTCGTATCCAGCTGCGTTAGGCGTAGCAGTTTATTTTCTTTTTTGTAATTTTTCTTTAATGAAAATGGAGGGTCAGCATATAACTGCTGTTGTTGTAATGTCGTATTATAAAAACACATTAAATAAGCGAAAACGGTTAAGCAGTTTTAAGAGATATACTTGCTAAAAATATACACCCCAAAAAAACGAATATAAACAAGCATTCTGAGAGTATTGCATGGCAATACATAGTCCCCTACTGATTAAAAATTCATTGTACCGGAACAAACTGCTAAATTGATCTATAACTTGTCATTGTGTAAACTTTATAACAAATATCAAGTCACTATCTTCATGCATGACGAAAAAAGTGATTATTTAAGTCCAATGACCACAACTCTGCACAAAATCATCAGACTGGAACAAAATTTGAACTTGATCAGTTACTTGTCATGATAAAACACTATACCATTTATCCATTCAATATCTTTAAGCATGACGAAAAAGAGTGTGGGAAAACTGTTTTATAAGAGTGAATTTTCTAAGTCCAAGGACCATAACTCTGCACAAAATCGTTAAACTGGAACAAAATTCGAACTTGGTCTGATACTTGTCATGATAAAACTTTATACCATTTATCCATTCAATATCCTCAAGCATGACGAAAAAAAAGAGGAAAACTGATGATTTGAGTGAATTTTATAAGTCCAAGGACAATAACTCTGCACAAAATCATCAGACCGGAACAAAATTCGAACTTGATCTGTAACTTGTCATGATAAAACAATACGCCAAATATCAAATCAATATCTTCAAGCACGAAGAAAAAAGTGTGGAAAAATGATTTGCCGGACTGACGGATGGACAGACAGACAGACAGGCGGACGGAGTGCAAATCTGAAGCCCCTTCGACTTTGTCGTAGGAGAATGAAAAGGGGTTACATGCGCGCAATCGCCCGTGCTTTCACCATATTTTGTTTTCATGTAATTCCGATTATTCTCTTTGTGTGTTATTTCATAGTGAAATAAAAATCGTGGGAATAATAAAAAAAAATTAACACATGCTATCTAGAATGCACTAATCTAGTCCAGACTTATTTTTTGCTGTCATTGAAATTAATTCAGACCGTGTACTAGTATCTATTACAAGATTTCGGTCTTTTTCTGTCGTTCAGGTCGTTGGTGTACATGTAACAGCCACTATGTTCCGTCAGTTACTTTGTTCCGGCGGAACTTTTCAACTAGTTATTTCGTTCCGATGGAACTTTCCAACTAGTTGTTTTATTCCGAGTGCAGTCGAAAAGTTCCGGAAAAAAGTAGCTAGTTGAAAAGTCCCGGAACAATTAATGTAGCTAGTTGAATAGTTCTGGCGGAACAGAACAACTAGTTACATCGTTCCGAATATACCATATTTTGTCCTTTTTGTAGAAAGAGGGGGACGAATGAGTATCAGTACGTATATATAAGAGCAAATCATTATTTTACAAGAATACCCAACGCACTTAAAGGGGTTTCTTTGGGGACAAATATGCAAAATTTAAGTTGTATTTCATAGCTCACATAAAACGGAATAAGTTGCATTATCATGCAAATTTAGTATTCATAGTACCCTCAAGGGAGGGATCGAAGAATACCCCCCTCCTCATGTGGTTCTTTGCATCAATTCTCCAAATGGAACTTTGTGACTGGTTGATAAGTTCCGTTGGAACTTTTGGGCTAGTTTGTTAGTTCCGATTTTGACTTATATGCCAAAGAGGAACTTTGTGGCTAGTTGATAAGTTCCTTTTGACTTTTGTAATCAGTATCTTGGTTTCCCTTTAAAAGGTTCAAATATAATATGTTGCGCTTTTACTTTGCATCAATTCTCCAAATGGAACTTTCTGCCTGGTTGATAAGTTCCGTTGGAACTTTTGGGCTAGTTTGTTAGTTCCGGTTTTGACTAATTTGGCAAAAAGGAACAATCTAACTAGTTGATATGTTCCGTTGGAACTTTTCAACTAGTCACTTTGTTCCGGTGGAACTTTTAAACCAGAGGAAGAACAAAGTAACTAGTTAATAAGTTCCTCCGGAACTTTTCGGCTAGTTAGTTCTTTCCGCCCGGAACTTTCCAACGTCGGAACAAAAGAGCATTTACATACACACCACATATAACTTCATTCTTATCAGACATAAAAAAAAAACAAACAATTTCATCGCTATCAAAATTGTATATCCATATGGCATTCAACGTAATATACTTACTGTAAGGGGGTACAAATCAAGTTCCAAGTTTGTCAATTAAAGATAAATTGCTTTTACCCCAAAACAATTACTTTCAAATTCTCTTGTTGAAAGGAATAAACTATTGTATAAATTTAATATACATTTATCTATGATGAGTTTACTATATAATTTTATGCATTACGCATGCATGTCTGTTTGTCAAATTGAATTAAAGTTCTACTTACAAATAGTATTTATCAGTTTTTCCGACTATTTCAATAGTGTTCAGTTTTGTTATGAATTTGCACGAACAGCAAACCCGCCTTTTTATATGAAAGCCCCTGCGCAAATTTATTGTGCAACCCAAAGCAAGATATAAACAAAGAAAACCTTGAGAATCTACACACGTGACATGTGTTCATATATTGAAATTGCGTAGATCGGCCTCGGTTGTGCTATTTTTATGTTATGAATATGTATTTATAAAACAGTCGATATACTTACATAAACACGACTCCATTTGATAAAACAAATCAGTATTGTTTATCATAATAATTGTGTAATATTGATAATCAATAAACTGACAATGCTTCAATCATACATGTCATATTTCTTACAAAAAAGCAAAAGGTCTTTAATTGTTTCCGAACTGCGCAATTTTAAAAATTGTTCAGGTTTTCTGTGCACAAAGAGGTGATTTGTTTTTTGTACCAGAGGAAAAACTTTTTATACAAGCGCAAAATTTTTGCGGCCGTATAATGGAATTTTGTCGTCTGCGTCGTCGTCGTTGTCGTCGTCCGATGAACTTTGGTTTCCAGACAAAAACTTGAGTATAAGTGTATGGATCTCTATGAAATTGTAACATAAGGTTCTATACCACAAAGGGAAAGTTAGAATATATTTCCCAGCAGACACACAACATTTTAAAAACATTTTTTAAATGTCATATGGACGTCTCTCACAAAATATTTCAATAAGATATCATTTAAACATAAAAAAAATGTTTATTTTATTGTTTTTGAAATGTTTTATTTCTAATATTTAAGTAAAATGTTTTTACAACATTAACAAAATATTATTTGCTAATATCTTTTATTCATGTTCTCAAACATTGTTCTAAAATATCCCGTAGATATTTTATAATATAAAAAAATAATATTTTCTTCAATTGGTATTTTATATTTTAACAACATTTAAAGTAAATATTTTCCAAATATCCAAAAAACATTCTGCAAAAAAATGTTTTACAGAAAATATAGTTTTGCTATTTGCATAAAATGTTTTATAACGTAAAATTAAAATGTTTTACATAAAACATCTGAAAAATATCAGCTAAATGTTTTCTATAAAATATTCTGACATACACATTACTTAATATCCTTACTGATATTTTATTCAACATTTTACGGATATAAAAATAACATTTTATTTAAACTTTATTCAAAACCCCACAAACAACGTTTTGTGGAATCAGCTCGTTTTTTTTTCAGGATAAGATATAGTACTACATTTCATCAATATCATGACAAGCAAGACACTATGGTTGAAATCCTTAATTGATATCTCAGTTGAAGATCCTTGAAGTCAGATTTTATTCCTTCTTATATTAAAATTCAAAAGAGTCAACATTAAATTAAGCAATAATGTATTAATAAACAATCACCTTTCTTTAATGTTTATTCATTTCGTTCGTGTATATTTTAGAAATTAAGAAATGAAAACTGTAACTGTACTAAGTTCAATTTTCGTATCGTTTATATGATTTACGGAAAACCGACCTTTTCCGGAATCGACTTTTGTTTTATCACCGGAAATGATTTTGAAATTTGAATTTCGAAACGAAGACAGGATATCAACAAAGAGAGCCAAGAAAATTGTTTGTTACGCGATATATACTCACTTGGTAAGAATGATTAATCTGTTAAGATGAAACTTGTGTGTGTTCAATCATAATCGGAACCAAATTACATCTGTTTCTGGAGGTGCGGATCAAGGTTTTGAAAAAAGGGGGGCCCCTGCATTATCTTATCTTACATTTATCTTATAAGTAGCTCCATCAAGCATCTACGTACACCAATTATGAATTTGTTCATTGATAAAAAAAATTATAAAGATATGTGGCTTGTGTGTTTGTCACAGTTTGATTGCCAATACACCTTATCGCTATTTGTCCGCCATTACTGGCCATGGACATCATAAAAGTTCCTGTAAAATGTTGACGTCATATTAGAAAATATTTGACACCACAATTGAAAGTAATACACCTTATTGCTATTTGTCCACCATTACTGGACATCACACAACTGTCACAAGTTCCCTTAAAATTTTGACGTCATCATAAAAAATATCTGATGCCACAATGGAAAAGTGATTGTTGTTTTATGTCAAAAGTTCAAGCAGGATAGATTCTCGGGTCAAGCAGGAATAGCGATAAGGTGTATTATTGTATGACGTATGCTGACGTAAAAAGTTCAAGCGGGACAGATTTCCAAATACTGAAATAGCGATAAGGTGTATGAGACAGTTATCCACCAGAATTTAAACGACTTGGATAAAAGAAATTATAGGTCACTGTACGGCTTTCAAAACTGAGAAAACCAATGCCATATAGTCCACTTTGAAGCCTTGAAAAACAAATGTTAAATTTTTCTCAACACAATTGAAACAAAACAACTAACTGTCTACATTAAATACACATTATGAAAAAGAAATTTGACAGACTTAAACCAACAACAACTATTGCAATAAGCATGACTCAATACCTTGTTTCTGAGGCACACAAACAAGTTACAATAACACTAATATAAGCACCATTTGAATATGGAGATTTTTTTTTCTAGTAAAATCAGTGTATGTATGTATTTGCAAAACAGTAAATTAAATTTCCCTTAACAGCTTAATGAACATTAAAAAGACTATGTAAGACTTCAGTACAAGCAAGATAATATAAACTGTTGCTTAAAATTATATTTATTGCTTCATACACACAATGTACATACAATGTATCTTTTATTTTTTAACAGGAGCTAAAAGAAAAGCCACAAAGGACAAGTTCAATATGCAGGTTTACAATTTGGAAGTGGCGCAGGTTCTTTGGAATGTCTACAACCTTTCAGTAGAATTTTTTTTGAAGTAAGATTTTTATACAGAATTACTGTTATTCCATATTTAATTCAAATATTTAGCATAAACAATGCATTACATTCAAGATTAAGGGCATACAATACAGAAAAGATATCTGGATATTTGAATAAATTATTTTTTTTGTGACAAAATAGAAACAAGTTGTTTATTTAAATCAATCTTTTAGTCCAACAGTGTGCTTTTAGTTTATTATTTTTAATTTTAGTTTCTTGTGTACAATTTGGAGTTTAGTATGACGTTCATTATCACTGAACTAGTATATATATTTGTTTAGGGGCCAGCTGAAGGACGCCTCCGGGTGCGGGAATTTCTCGCTGCATTGAAGACCTGTTGGTGGCCTTCTGCTGTTGTCTGTTCTGTGGTCGGGTTGTTGTCTCTTTGACACATTCCCCATTTCCATTCTCAATTTTATTTCATAAACAACATATTTGCTTTCCTTTGAAGTATTTCAAATACATATAAACAACTCATTTAATGACATCTGTGTGTTTCTCGGAAGTTAAGTTATATTATTATCATCATTGCGAAAACAATGCGTAACACTTCAATAAGTTATTATGTGCCTATAATATACTTCTAGGACTGTATCATATGCCCTTAGATACAAATGACAAGTTATAAAACTATGTCACTCTACAGAGTTTATCACTCAAAACATGCAAAAAGGACAATAAGATGTTTAATGACATTATGTAGCATGGCTTTTAAAGGCCCCTACATTATATACAATGCATTTAATGAAAACTAAAAAAAACAAGAAAAACAACAGCCTGATTTATACAAAACAATAAAAGAAAAAAATTATGATAGACAACAATCAACGAGTATAATGAAATAAGACTCTTGACTGGACACATATCTAGTCTAAAGTTTTTTATGTGTTTTTTTTTAATAACTAAATGAAGTTCAGCGTGGCATATTGCTCTCTCTTAACACAGTCAGCCATTTATCGTCCCCTTCCGACAGACTATCATCGTTATTTGTTTCAAAACTTTAAAGGGGAGGGGATGTATATCCTTCAGGCAACGTGAATCGTTCTATAATAAAGGAATGTGCAAGAAATTATATATGAATGTAAGATTAATTTTTTTTTCAGAAGCATGGCACAGCAAGAAAAAGATATAAGACACTACAAGACATTCCAAGTGATTTTGAATAAGACAATTGATTGACTTTTTCAATGTATTCGTAAATAAATCAAATAGTTGATGTAAAATGGTGTTTTGTTCTCATCTCTTTAGCCAATTATCAATGATTATTGACTTAAGATGTAACCCTATTAGAAGTGTAGCGTTTTAGTTTAGAAAGAGAAGTTGTATTGAAAAATCTGAATTTGGGACACAAGTTTTAGTCAATGTAACTTGAACTTAAAAATGTGTATAATGTTTGCATAATGTCCAATGGCATATATGTCATGCATGTTCAGGTTGACATATGCATGATGTGTATAAGATAGGTAATAAAAGTTGAGAGCGAAAAACTAAACATTATACCATTGTGGTTGGAATAATGGGCTTTCTTGCACTGTCTGTCGTCTGTTCACCTATATTTGTCGGATTTTGTCCGACAAATATTTTCATCACTGTTTTTCCCAAAACTGCTGATAAAGATGAGTTCATATTTAATGAGCTGCTTGAAAGTGATGAACTGTGATGTGTGAACATTTTTGTATCTGGCACCTGTTTCCTGTTTGCTTATACATTGTATTTCAAAATGTTGAATGTTCTCACATTTTTCATCACTTTAATTAGTAATGCTTATGAACAGAATGACTTCATATTTGGTAAGTGGCTTGACCATGATGAGTTGTGTCTGCCATTTTGGATGTGTCAAAATTTGTAGATACTTCTTGTTTTTAGAGACTTTGAATTGTGAATTTCATATGCTTAGCAAAACAACTGATTTATTCAATCAAAAGTACAGAAATTTTTATATTGATATGATCTCGATATCAACCAAAAACATCTTTTTAAAACATTTTGAAAACATTTTTTAGGCACAGTCTCACTTGCAAGAAAACATCCAAAAAACATTTTTATAACATTATTTGATGTTCATGATGTTTTTCAAATGTTCAGAAAATATTTCTAGAAAATATTTTTTAAAAGATTATCAAAATGTTTAATACGCCATTGTTTTTCACATTATCATGATATTTCTTTACAACATTTTAATTATATTATGCAAATATTTTAGAAAATATATTAGAAAATGTTTTAGCGATATATATTCTACCATACATTTAATGTTTTTCTCACGTTTTTTTGTGATATTTTCATGACATTAGACACAACATTTTAAAAACATTTTAAAGATGTTTTAGTGTTTGCTGGGTTTGGGGGTTATTTTTCTAACTGTTTGGGAATTAGGGGCCAAAACGGGTCAAAAACAAGCATTTTTCTTGTTTCAGGACAATGACTTGTATATAAGTCTATGGATCTCTATGAAATTGTCCCCCAAAGTTCCATACCAAAAAAGGGAGATTGAGATTGGTTTTGGAGTTTATAGCCCCAACCGTTTAGGGAAAAATGGGCAAAGGGCCAAAAACAATACTTTTCTTATACTTGTATAAATTGCTTATTACTTGACCAATTTCAATGGGGTTTAATTCAAAGTCTTGAATTTTTGAGGTTCTTTAATATGCTGAATCTAACCGTGTATTTAGATTTTGTTTTTTTGCCCTCCTTTTATAAATTGACACCATTCAGGTCCAAAGGGTCCAAATTTCAATTTTGTTTGGTTTCATCAAAAATCGAATTATACGGGTATTTAGATTTTTGTCTCGCCCTTGACGGAGTAAAAAAGCGAGACATAGTTATTTAATTGGTATGCAGTTGTATTAGCATTGGCACATCTCGTCACCATGGAGATTATTTGGCCCCTCCCCCTCAGTCAAGGTCTATTGATTTTGAAACTTTGCTTAGTTTACATGTATTAGTTTGTGATTAGGTCAGTTTATGGGAAACCACTAGTGGTAGGTCAATGATATTTGGTATGCAGTTGTATAAGCATTGGCATATCTCATTTCCATTGAGATTATTTGGCCCTGCCCCCTCATTCATGGTCTATTGACTTTGAAACTTTTGCTTAGTTTTCATGTTTTAGTTTGTGATTATGCCAGTTTAAGGGGAACCGTTAGTGGTAGGTCAATGGTAATTGGTATGCAGTTATATAAGCATTAGCACATCTTATTTCCATGGAGAATATTTGGTCCTTACCCCTCAGTCATGGTCTATTGACTTTGAAACTTTTGCTTAGTTTACATGTATTAGTTTGTGATTAGGTCAGTTTAAGATGAACCACTAATGTTAAGTCAATGATATTCGGTATGCAAATGTATTGGTATTTGCTAGTTTCATTTCCATTGAGATTATATAACCCCACCCCCTAATTATGATTCATTGACTTTGAAACTTTTACATAGTTTACAAGTTAATGTTTGTGTTTAGGTTTGTTAAAATGGAACGACTTATGAAAAGTCTTTTGTATTTGGTATGCAGTTGTATTAGCATTGGCACATCTCATTTCCATGGAGATAGTTTAGCCCTGTACCTTCAGTCATGGTTCATTGACTTTGAATACTTGCATAACTTACATGTTAAAGTATTGCTATTTTACTTTCAACATTTGCATTATCAAAATAACAAAAAGGCGAGACATACCTCTGTGTTAACAGTTTATTTATTTTTGGGCCCCGTTTCTGAGTTGGTGCAAATCGGGGTCCAAAATAAAATTTTGTTTGTTTTCATCAAAAAATAAATATATGGGGTTCTTTGGTATACTGAATCTAACAATGTATTTAGATTTTGAAATTTTGGTCTCCATTATCAAATTGGTTCATTTTGAGGTCCAAAGGGTCCACAATTAAACTTTGTTTGATTTCATCTAAAATGTATTCTTTGGATTCTTTAATATGCTGAATCTAACCATGTATTTAAATTTTGGATATTGGACCATAAAAGGGAAATGTCTAATTTCAAATGTTTAAGGTCTTAGACCACATTCATTCTGTGTCAGAAACCTATGATGTGTCAAATATTTAATCACAATCCAAATACAGAGCTGTATCATGCTTGAATGTTGTGCCCATACTTGCCCCAACTGTTCAGGGTTCGACCTCTGCGGTCGTATTATGATGCATCCTGCGGATCATTTTATTATAAAATGATTTCTCCAGAGAATATCTTCTGACGGCATCTGATCCTAATGGCGACATAAAATGATATGGATTAAGCATATCCCTGAGGATCGAAGTTATTCAGGTGTTGTAGTATATATATTTTATTTGAATTTCTTACCCAAAACTTTTCCCGACCAATCGATTTTTTTTATAACCAACGTGTGGTTTGTTAAATTACAGTTCTTCACTGGTCAAATTCAAAGTCGAATTAAAATTGAATCCTTTAATTGCTATTTTTATTGGACTGATGAACATTTCCCCATGGTATCTTCTCTCTCTCTCTCTCTCTCTCTCTCTCTCTCTCTCAATAAAACAACTGGCTAAGTTTTTTTGGTAATACTGTACGTTATTAGTTGCCGAAAATTCATTTTCATACGCCAACATAAATCAATAAGTATACTGTCTTGCAGAAACGACTAAATTACTGCATAAAGAAATAATATAAAACCACTCTTTATCTAAAATGTAGTAAATAAATATATGATTTATCGGTATCCAATAATTGTATATCCCTATTCCCAGACAAGAACCTCGATCTATCTCTCTCTCTCTCGGTTTTTTTGTTGTTGTTAATCTTAAATTTGTTGCTGATGTCAAACTGCTCACATCTTGTATAGGGTCGCGCGATTTAGAAATTGTTATATGCTATCGCAGATAAATAATCTACCTTTGTCACACTATAAACCCGTGTTTGTTTGCTGCTTCTTTCAGTATGTTATCCGTGCACAAATACCACTCCCCCGGAAGGGCGGAATAACGTTGACCCTATATGTTTACCCTAATGTAGTCGAACTTCTTCGCCTTGATCTTCTGACAGTAGATGCGCTATTTATTTGAAAACACACACAGTTTACTGACTGGTGAAAAAAAGTAGGATGACACTTATAAATTATATCGTAAAATAAGTCTTGAGACATTCAATGACGGAAAAGGATTTTGATGAAGTGTAAAGCTTGGACTAAATGCTTCTGACAAGAAATTCCCTGGTTATGTTGAGTTTCATAATTTGATATAAACATTTTATATATTTTCTTATCGTATTTGTGGCCAAGTTCATACTATGATATAAATATTCAATGATGTATGGGATTTTCGAAGATCTACAAACGTGCGTGGCTTTAGTCTGACCTATAGTTTATCTAAGTCCGAACAACAAGTGTCCTCGTTTACTATTTATTATAGATAAGAATAACCAAGCATCGACCCTGGGCTGAACAGTGCATGTTTATTTAAGAACTAAATGCTTCTTTTTGTAATTTTAATGGGTTGTAAAAGTATTGACCGAAACACATTTTGTTTCCGCGCTTCATACTAACAATATGCGCACAATCAACGCTTTTACAACCCTATAAAATTACAAAAAGAAGATTCAATTCTTATAATTACATTTTCATGCTTCAACCATGAAATTACGAGTTATATCACATTTTTCGTTCGTTACATTGTTAATTGTGACGTTGTTTCAGGAAGCACGTGCTGTTACGAAAGTTACATTTTATTGGGAAACAAAATGTTGTTAATTTGAATTGCCTTTCGATTGTTGTCAACCAATCACGTACTGATTCTTATGAAACGGTGTCGATTTCGCTGAACTAGTTTACATTATTATTTAGGTGCCAGCTGAACTTCAGCCACCTCCAGGTGTGGAATTTCCTCGCTGCGTTGAAGACTCGATGATGGCCTTGGGCTGTTCTCTGCTCTTTGGTCGGGTTGTTGTCTCTTTGATACATTCCCCGTTTCCATTCTCTATTCTATTCTATATGTAATGTAATTACACGGTATTGAAATACTACAAAAGAAGTTAATTATCTATATATATATATATATTCATAAAAGAAATCACAAAAGAAGAAAAAAAAGCACAAAAAATAATAGCAATTTAAATTATACAACGATATCTATGTGTATGTTGATATAATGTCCCAAAAATATCTATAATAATAAAGAAAAGAATTTGCCGAATTTTCATGGAAACGCGTGGCTTAAGCTGAATCACAGAAAGATAATAGTTTAGATGATGCTAATGTCTCATATATGTTTATCCATCATGCCAACATATTGTAGATTTTAAGTGTCTTTCCCCAGAAGAAAACGTGTCTATAAAACTATACAAAAATTTGTTTGAAAATCCTTGTAAAACCAATTCTCATGTATAACTCTGAAATTTGCCAGGTATATGTATTTTTAAGAGCTGATAGGCGAGCACAAAATAAAGGATAAATAAGTTTGATCTTTGAGCAATGATCGATAGAAGCCAAGAAACGAAAACATTTAATTTTTTGGCAAATATATACTTGGGCTTAAGCTCAGTAGACAATCTGTCAATATAGCTGCAAGAGCAGAACTAGCCCAGTATCCCATTATAGATGTTTTTATTAATATACAATCACTGAATTACTTAGCAAGAATATCCAGTGATGAATATATAACCCTTTATCATTTGATGCTTTCCGGTTGTCTAAATGGCTCAGCACGAACGGATCATTTTCATGGTTCTCATATTTTGAAAATATATCTAACACACATGAAATAGACCTACATATAAATACAGGAAATAAAGTATAAACAAGAGAAGAATTCATTCTAAAAATAATCAAAAAGAACTAAATGCTAACTTTGAAAAGATATTCTTCGAAAAATCAACTATTGGAAGGAGTAAAATTTTCTTGTACAGCAAAATTAAAACAAAATTGAATTAGACAAATGTACTTGAAAATAATTTTGAAAATAGAAAAATATTAAGTAAAATGCGAGTAAGTGACTTAGTGACCCTTAGTTTAAACAATAGTTATTGAGATAAATCAACATTAAACGATATGATACAAATGAAATAAATATTAAGGATTCAGAAACAAGCAAATTTGCTTTTACAAATCTGTCTCCTTTTACACAAATAATACACTTATTGAACAATACATAAATATAAATACTGGCATGCTCTGTAATAAATATATGAATATGAAAAAGTAGAAAATACATTAGAGAAGAAGAAGAGAAAAAAATACAAAAATAAATATGAATTTTTGTAATGTATACAGTGTGAAATGCATGGGTTCCTATTGAATGGTGAAGCAGTAACATCAAGGGTTAAAACGTTTGCTTTTGATAGTATATTTCTGCACCAAACTAAATAAATGACTATTTTGCTCATCTGAGAGTACCGTTGATCCAAAAAGCAAAGTTTGTGTGTCAACTTGGACAGGAAGAACTGAAACTGAAGCTAATAGTTCGTGTCTTAAATCAGTGTATATTGGACAAGATAACAGGAAGTGAGAATTTGTTTCTACATCACCAAAACGACAATTTGGAGAGTCTACTAAATTGCGAAGGAATAGGTGAGAATTCAATGAACTTGAATCCATTCTTAAGCGAGCATGAAGAATTTGACCAAGACGATATCCCACGTAATAATACGTTAGGACCTTACTATTTTGGGTACGAATTTGTTTTTTGGATAATGGTAGAGATTCACATTTTCTTACGTTTAAGTTAAGAGTGTTCCATAGTTTTGTTGTTGCTGGGATAAAATATTCAGAATATAAACAGGTCCGTGTGTTAACTTGTGTAATATTATTTCTTTGTCTTGTATTATGATCATGTCTACTTCCTACTGAATCGGGCATTAAGTCTCTTAAATACTCTGGAGTTTTATTATTCAAAATTTTGTGATAAAAAATTAGTCTATGATTGCATCGTCTTTCAGATAATTTTTCCCATCGAGTTTCAACACATAAATTATTAATACTGGTAAGTTTAGTACCCCGTGACGATACGCGCTGCGTCAAGCTGGATATTTTCAAGTTTAGCAATCAAATTCTGATTTTGAGAGTCCCAAACGACATCGGCATATTCAAGAATTGGGCGAACAAATGATATGTAAATTTTTTCAAGTGTAAACCTATCAAGAACATTTTTCATTTTTCTCATTATATTTATTCTTTTGTAAGTTTTAGAAATTATATATTCAATATGGTCGTTCCAGGATCCGTTTTTAGAAAAAAGACACATAGATGTTTGTGTTTACTTACTATTTGTAGCTCTTGGGTATTCATATTTAATGGAGGATGAACGGGTTTATTTATTTTTTTTGAAATTATCATACTTTCAGTCTTTTGGGCAATAAAATTCACAAGCCATTTCTTTGACCAATTATAAATCTTATTTAAATCGTTATTTAAAATTGTAGCTGTTTCTGTTTGATTGTCAACCATAATATATAATGAAGTGTCATCTGCGAATAGTTTAATTTGGGCTTGAATATCATCAACAATATCGTTAATAAATATCAAAAAAAGGAGAGGGCCCAGAATGGACCCTTGTTGGACGCCTGCATTTACAGGTAACCATTAGTGACCCTTTCTTAGAAACCGATAGTGGTAGATATAAAAAAATAAGTAAAGAGAAAATATATTTTTTTAAACATTGTAATATCAAAGGTTGAAGATGAAACCTATTTTTCTGTACATGTGAAATTAATAAATCTTTACGTTAACAGCTTGAAAAAGAATAAGATATAAATAAATTCATCCAGGATTTACGGAATCATAAAAAAAGATAGATTGCAATTACATCTATCATCATTTAGTAATATGCAGTTTACTGTTCCATTCATTAAAAATCTTTTGCACTGAGGAGGGTGGACGCCACTTGCATATTAAAGTATCATTACTTTTTTTTACTATCGGTTTATGATAGTTTCTCCAGTGTTTTGCAAGCTATACGGATGTTAAGGATACTTGTCTGTAATTTTCAGCTATGTATCTTTCTTTTTTTTTTGAAGATCGGTACTGCCAACTTGAAGGCGACTCTCCGGACTGGGGAACTTCTCCTGTGTCGAGGGAGTGTTAGTATGCAGAGTTAAGATGGGTGCTATTTCCTGGGCTGCAGCTCTAAGTATATATCCTGGATGTCGTCTGGACCTGTTGAGTTGCGAGGTTTCTGGTTCTTCAACAGCTTATATATAGACTCGCTGTTCAGTGATGCTAATGCCCTTCATTGTTGGAAATGGACTTTGTCCTTGTCTGTGAAGTTTGTGTTGTCCTCTTTTGTGAATACTGATCATGTGAAGTTGCTCATTGATCATGAGTATGTTGGCTTTACTCTGGTTGTCAGTTTGTAGAAATCCTTTTTGCTTTCTCTTTTGGTGCAACTCCTATAAAGTTTTGTCCTTTATTTTTTATATATAATCATAATCTGTTGGTTTTATCTTTATCACTTATAACATCTGTAATGTACTGTTTGTTTGCTTCCCTGATTTCATATTGAACTTCTGTCTGTAGTTTCTTGTACCTGGCTTTGTCTTTTGTCTTTTTTGTTTTCCTGGCCTTTATCATGCATGGGCTCTCTATTTTTGGATGATTTTTTTGATGTTTTTATCTCTATCGATTTATGAGTTTCGAACAGCGGTATACTACTGTTGCCTTTATTTGTCTGACCTCGGTGTTGATTCACGGATTGGTGTCTTTTGACCGTGATGTTGTTTTTGATGGTACTCCGGTTTCTATGATGGTCTAAAAATTGACGATTTAAATGTGTACCACATAATTTCTATACTCTGGTGTCTTTGGTTCTTGAAGGCAATGCTGAATGTAACTTGTTGTTAAATCTCTTATATTTTATGAACCTCAGCTTTTAGCAGAGGTAAAATTCCGTCTTACAGGTTTTCTGGTTTGCAGGCTAAGTCAAGAAGTACTATGTCGTGATCACTAAATTTCCTTTGGAAGGCAGTTGTTTGCAGTGATTAGGGCAAGATTAGGGCCATTGTGTTTTCCTTCCTTATAGGAAAATCGACTTACTGCATGTACAAGACCATTATCTGCTATTGTGTCTGAGTAAGATTGGTTGTTATGTACAGGATATATATGTCTCTGGTATGATGTAATAGTGAACATTCACGTAAAATTGTATTTAATTCACATGTCAGTATTTAAGAAATATGTATTTTTGTATATTAAATACATGGAAATGCTGAATATAGCACTATTGTATAAGAAGTACCACAAATATATGCAAAAACCCAATCATTTCATGAATACCGAACTGTGGATTCACTTTTCATTGTATACTGAGCAGATTTTGAATAATGCTATATTCATTATTTCCATGCATTTGACGTAATTTTACTTCAAATATCATCAAATATTTTCACCATTATATTGTATGATATTCACGTGATACTGGTGTACATGTATAAATTTATAAACAAACATCCTAATTGTTCATTGTTGTATTATGTTAAAAAAAGAGATCAGCAAGTTAAAATATGCTTGATCATGCTTGAATTAAAAAAAAAATTAATGTATACAGACGGCTTCGTCCTCTTTCACAGGTAACGCATGCCTCATATTAAATGACACCAAAGATGTTACATTTCCTGTCTAACTACCAATAGAAACTTAACAATTCATAGTAATGCCCATCAATTTTGATTTTAATAGATGAACGGGGCGAAATGACCCAGCGGGAATCGTGGCGAAATAGAATCGGGGGCGAAACGACCTGGATTCTCATCAGCTAATTGCGGATTATTTTATATTTTTTCGAATACTGAATGATAATTTTGAGTCCGTTGATTGAAAATCCTAATTCTCAAGAGTTTAGAGAAACTTATAATTGATTCGACCAATGAAGACGTGTGTGCTATTTTCGTCGATGCTGTGATAATCAACCGGAAGTGGAGAAATTTTACTAGGAAAAAGACGAGTGTATTGAATATTGTCTTAAACATGTTAATCAAAGTAAAGGTAATGGATAAAAAGCAAAAAAATATTGAAAATAAATCATAAACCGTATAGTTAACCTCTTCCTTAAACAGATTTTAAAAATATATTATATCTTTTTATTATAAAGAGAAAAGGGGGAAGGGTTGGTTCGGTATATATGTCATAGTTTAGGAATTGGAAGGGATATTGATGGAAAGGGAAGTATAGCAATTTATTTAAGGCAGGAATACAGTTACTCTGATGCTACATGTTAGTAGAGTGCCATATACCTTGTATGTACCCACATCAGGCCACTTGAAGAAAAAAATAGAAGATTCTTAACAGAAAAATTAAAACTTATTAAGAAGGGATATAGTTACGATACTGTTGTCAGGTCATTAAAGATTGCATATTTTGGCATTAATATTGATTCACTTATAGGGTCTTTGCATCGGCACTAAACACATTTATTTAAAAACCAGTTGTTGGCATGACACGGGTTACATGTATGTTCTTCTCATAAATGTTATGATGGTATGATACTAAACCCCTAACGGGAAGGATTGTGCCTGATATTCATATGATGAAGACATAATCTTTCAATCAGTTTAATTGAAGTCTGGAGCTGGCATGTCAGTTAACTGCTAGTAGTCTGTTGTTATTTATGTATTATTGTCATTTTGTTTATTTTCTTTGGTTACATCTTCTGACATCAGACTTGGACTTCTCTTGAACTGAATTTTAATGTGCGTATTGTTATGCGTTTACTTTTCTACATTGGCTAGAGGTATAGGGGGAGGGTTGAGATCTCATAAACATGTTTAACCCCGCAGCATTTTTGCGCCTGTCCCAAGTCAGGAGCCTCTAGCCTTTGTTAAGTCTTGTATTATTTTTAATTTTAGTTTCTTGTGTACAATTTGGAGTTTAGTATGGCGTTCATTATCACTGAACTAGTATATATATTTGTTTAGGGGCCAGCTGAAGGACGCCTCCGGGTGCGGGAATTTCTCGCTGCATTGAAGACCTGTTGGTGACCTTCTGCTGTTGTCTGTTCTATGGTCGGGTTGTTGTCTCTTTGACACATTCCCCATTTCCATTCTCAATTTTAAACAATATGTTGAAGGAAAACAGTTTTAAAAAGATTTTGATTTCAAGATTTAAAAAATGTGCAAAATCCACCTGTTAAAAGCCATTAACCTTTAGGCGTGCATCATATTATTCAGTGATATCTTGCCCTTGCCTAAGTGATACTTTTTTCAGTTTTGCTATTTTCTGCTGTCACTAAGTCCAGCTCCTCCTTCTTTTGCCTCAACAGTAATTTTCACTGTAAGCCTCTAGTCTGAAGCCCCAGACTAGTAAAAGTGTACTCAGACTAGTAGGTATTTGCAAAACTTTGTTTAAATGCATAAGGAAAATGTCTGTATATTGGTTTTCGGACTAGTATTTGGAAAAGATTATGGTGCAGACTGCAACAGTGCAAGCATACAGGATGATTTTGCAGCGAAGTTTAGCCTCACTTTTAAGGGCTCATCCCAGTCTTTCAAAACAAAAAAATTGAATATCAAATGGAAAATCCTGATAAAATTAACAACTTACATAACTTTAGTAACTTGTCCACTGGTTAGAAACTCACATTATTCATGTAACTTGAGGGGAAATTCCTTTCCTTGGAAGTTTATTTACATCAGTAACATTATATTGCAGACTGGTTTCTTACAAAAATGAGTCCATGAGTCATGGACTCGTCATTTTCAAAACTGGTGAGTCCAAAAATGCATCAAGATTGTAAAATGTTGAATCAACTGATCACACATTGCAGAAAGCCAGGTTTCTCACTAAAATGAGTGATGGACTCTGTCACTCATCATTTTCAAAACTGGTGAGTCCAAAAATGCATCAAGTTTGTAAAATGTTGTATCAACTGATCACACATTGCAGAAAGCAAGGTTTCTCACTGAAATGAGTCATGGACTCTTGACACTCATCATTTTCAAAACTGGTGATTCCTAAATGCATCAAGATTGTAAAATGGTGTATAACTGATCTCACATATACATGTACAATCATTTTATAACAAAAGTTTTATAATAACTAAATTTGATGTTATTCCTTTGCTATATTTTGTCATGGAGACTGAAATAATGAATTATATAGCAATAAACTTTCATTTTCTCACTGTTGGAATCGCCATGGCCAAAAATGATGAGTCCCTGAACTCACCTTCAAAAATCCTTAGTGAGAACCATGACAAACATAAGGGAGCTACCATTTGATTTTTATGGGGAGGGGGGGGGGGGGGGGGGGGGGGGGGCTAGGATGAAAAATGTTGTCCTGCATTTTTAGTTGTAATCTCTGTCCTGCATTTTTATTTTTCACTCTATTCGGTCCTGCATTTTTTTTTAAAGTTTATCCTGACTTTTTTTTACCTAAATTGTCATCCTGACTTTATTTTTTTTGCAAGTGTCTCATCCTGCCTTTTTTTTTTACTCAAAACTCTTGTCCTGTCTATTTTTTTCAAATTTCATCCTAGCCCCCCCCATGAAAATCAAATGGTAGCTCCCTAAGGATCAAAAATTAAATTTGCTTCTCCTATAATATAATTTCAATGATATCCAGACATTTACTGTACATGCATCTCTACTTGGCTAATATTGAACTTCTTCTTATAGTACTGGACATTTGTCTGATTACAATATACAAAAATGTACATGTATCTTTATAGTATAGCTAGAAAAATGTTAAGTCTTTTTAATTTAAAGATACTTTTTGATGTCTGGTTTTATCTTTGATGTACATGATGTAACCATTGGTAGCTATTACTGTAAGACCAAAGACACAAATCTGAAAATCCAGCAGATCATTCAGTAGTGTGAAAAAGCCATGCTCTACTCATGTACCTTCCACTGTCTGAACAAGTAGATTTTTATGTCTTGGTTGCCAGTGGCCAGTCAAGAAAATGTTACTTTACAGTTTTGCAAAATTAAAACAGAATATAGAAGACTTATGATCAAAATTTATTAAGAGATGTTATTAAGAGAAAAAATGCAAATACGCAGCTTATCTTTCTGCAGTTATACCGCTTCTTAAGCCATCTATAAAGATATATTTTGTACATTGAAAATTGGATGTGGCATTGGTGCTCAAGATTAAAAACCAAAGATGACCTTGTGGCTAGTTGTAACCTTTTTGGTCAATAATTAGGAAACTACTAAACAAAAATTGATAAAATTGTCCTGAGTAATGAGATTAATAATGCATGTAACATACTATGTATAAATGTATATGCACATCATTGTTCTTATCTCTTTTTTTTTTACAGATAGCATCACTATTGGTACTCATAATCTTTTTTTCTCTTTTCAGACATTAACTGGAAAAGAGGTAAGTACTTGTATTTTAATATCAGATTTTAGACGCAAAATTAATTAATCATCAATCTACTGTTTATCTTCAAACATTAGCATGACTAGCTTTATTTGATGTTTGTTGTCTAACTATTAAAGTCACCTTTATGCTCTGGATGAAAAATATTAGAATTTAAAACATTAGTACCAACATACCCAAATCACTAATAACTTTGAAACACTTTTTCCATCTGATGTTGACAGCTAAATATTAAAAACACGAATGTGTCCATAGTACACGGATGCCCACTCGCACTGTCATTTTCTATGTTCAGTGGACCGTGAAATTGGGGTAAAAAAACTTATTTGGCATTAAAATTAGAAAGATCATATCATAGGGAACATGTGTACTAAGTTTCAAGTTGATTGAACTTCAACTTCATCAAAAACTACCTTGACCAAAAACTTTAACCTGAAGCAGAACGGACGGACGGACAAATAAACGGACGCACAGTCCGAAAAACATAATGCCCCTAGGTGGGGCATAAAAATTAAACTAATTGAAAGTTACTGCCAACTTACTGGTGAGACAGTATTTAAGTCATGAACATATTTGAAGCATGTTTTCATTAACAAGATAGGTAGTGGTAGAAGGGTCAACTCGCTGGTGGAATTCAAGTCAAACCATTATTTTCAATACTTGTATACTAAATGTCTTTATTTAGTTTAATTAAACTTTTAATGTGATTAGAATGTTTCTTTATAATTTCCTTCTCAGAAAGAATACTTGAATCATCTGTAATATTAGAAATAGTATTTCTTGCTACCAAGTGAATTACAATGACCTTTGCTAGATGGCACGTGCACTTTGATTTTTAAGAAAACTGGCAGAATTTTAAAAAAAATCTCAAAAATATATATGTAATTTTTCATTTTATCAGTAAAAATGAAATGTATGAAGCAGAGTTTTTTTCAATAAAATATGTACATACGAAAACAAATTTTATATAGTTGTGTGTATTTTTCAGATTGAAATAGACATAGAACCAACAGATAAGGTAAGATGCCATATACATAATTGTCTTATGATTATTATAAAAACATATCGGTTTTGTAGTTTTCCTGTTGAAGGTCGGTGGTGTTCTTCGGGCACTCCAGCTTCCTTAATAAAAACTGACTGCCACGAAAGAGCCAATAGTGCTGATGGTGGCATTAAACACCAGTCAATCAATTTATTGTTTAGAAATGTCATTTCTGCATTTTGAAGAGTTGCCACCATCAAATATTTGATTGACAGTGGAAAACTTTCTAATATAGTACTGTTCTAATGCATGAGTGATTACAAGCGAAATAATTCCATGAAGGCAGTTAGCTTTGAAAATGTATAAAAATCCAAATACAATAAAATTCAGAAAGGTTTTGTGAATGCATTTGGTGCATTAATGTCTGGCATGGAAAAAGAATGACAACTTTTACACTGAACATTATTTTGTAACATGTATACATCAAATTAGGATAAAATATCATCAAAACTTCATTTTGAGGAAGTTGTGTTTTGTTTTCCTTGATCATGATGATACATGTATTGCAATAGTCATGATAGTTGAGCATGTGATCGTGTTAATGGGCTTCTTGTCAATTGAATACATATTCTTGTTTTAGTTATGCTTAAGAAGTTTAAAAACAATTTTCTTCAAATAAGTTTGAGTAATTTATACATAACATGAAGATTTATACAACAGTTATGTCTTGCATTGATGAAGTCATTAAAGCAAGGCTTAGGCATGCTGTTTCTGGCAGCAGTGGGGTCAAGTTCAACAATGTATTAGTTTGTGATTAGGTCAGTTTATGGGTAACTGCTAGTGGTAGGTCAATGATATTTGGTATGTAGTTGTATAAGCATTGGCAAATCTCATTCCCATGGAGATTATTTGGCCCCACCCCATCAGTCATGTTCTATTGATTTTGAATGTTTTGCATAGTTTACATGTTAAAGCTTGTTATTAGATCAATTTAAGATGAACCACTAATGTTAAGTCAATGATCATTTGGTATGCAGATATATTGGTATTTGCAAAGCTCATGATTTCCATGGAGATTATATGGCCCCACCCCCTCATCATGGTTCATTGACTTTGAAACTTTTACATAGTTTACAAGTTAAAGTTTGTGTTTAGTTTTTGTCGAGCCTGCGACTTTTGTTGCAGAAAGCTCGACATAGGGATAGTGATCCGGCGGCGGCTACGGCGGCGGCGGCGTTAGCTAACTTCTTAAAAGCTTTATATTTTAGAAGGCGGAAGACCTGGATGCTTCATACTTTGTATATGGATGCCTCATGTTACGAAGTTTCCGTCAGTCACATGTCCAATGTCCTTGACCTCATTTTCATGGTTCAGTGACTACTTGAAAAAAAAGTTCAGATTTTTTGTAATGTTAGATTCTCTCTTATTATAAGTAATAGGATAACTATATTTGGTATGTGCGTACCTTGCAAGTTCCTCATGCCCGTCAGACAGTTTTCACTTGACCTGAACCTCATTTCATGGATCAGTGAACAAGGTTAAGTTTTGGTGGTTAAGTCCATATCTCAGATACTATAAGCAATAGGTCTTGTATATTCGGTGTATGGAAGGACTGTAAGGTGTACATGTCCAGCTGGCAGGTGTCATCTGACCTTGACCTCATTTTCATGGTTCAGTGGTTATAGTTAAGTTTTTGTGTTTTGGTCTGTTTTTCTTATACTGTATGCCATAGGTCTACTTTATTTGGTGTATGGAATGATTGTAAGGTGTACATGTCTAGCGGGCAGGTGTCATCTGACCTTGACCTCATTTTCATGGTTCAGTGGTCAAAGTTAAGTTTTTGAGTTTTGGTCTTTTTTTCTAATACTATATGCAATAGTTCAACTATATTTAGTATGTGCGTACCTTGCAAGGTCCTCATGCCCGTCAGACAGTTTTCACTTGACCTCGACCTCATTTTATGGATCAGTGAACAAGGTTAAGTTTTGGTGGTCAAGTCCATATCTCAGATACTATAAGCAATAGGTCTTGTATATTCGGTGTATGGAAGGACTGTAAGGTGTACATGTCCAACTTGCAGGTGTCATCTGACCTTGACCTCATTTTCATGGTTCAGTGGTTATAGTTAAGTTTTTGTGTTTTGGTGTGTTTTTCTTATACTGTATGCCACAGGTCTACTTTATTTGGTGTATGGAATGATTGTAAGGTGTACATGTCTAGCGGGCAGGTGTCATCTGACCATGACCTCATTTTCATGGTTCAGTGGTCAAAGTTAAGTTTTTTGAGTTTTGGTCTTTTTTTCTAATACTATATGCAAAAGTTCAACTATATTTGGTGTATGGAAATATTTTATGATCTATTTGGCAGTCACGCAGGTTTTATTTGACCTTGACCTCATTTTCAAGGTTCATTGCTCAGTGTTAAGTTTTTGTGTTTTGGTCTGTTTTTCTTAAACTATAAGCAATAGGTCAACTATATTTGTTGTATGGAAGAATTGTTAGCTGTACATGCCTGCCTAGCATGGTTCATCTGACCTTGACCTCATTTTCATGGTTCATTGGTCAATGTTTAGTTTACTTGGTTAATGTTAAGTTTATGTGACAGTTGTAATAAAGCTTTATATTTAGGACTATCAACATAATATCAATGATTAGTAAAGAAGGCGAGACATTTCAGCGTGTGCACTCTTGTGTTTAAAAGGAATGACTTATGATACATATGTAAGTCAATGGTATTTGGTATGCAGTTTTATAAGCATTGGCATTTCTCATTTCCATGGAGGTTATTTAGCTCTGCACCTTCAGTCATGGTTCATTGACTTTGAATGATTTGCATAGTTTACATGTTTGAATATTGACATTTTAATTTCAACATATGCAATATACTATCAAAATTACAAAATGTGAGACATATCTCGAGTCAACAGACTAATGTCTTATGAACATCTGAAGGATGTTATTTAGTAGATCTATAAAGGTTTTTTATTTTCAATTTCAAGAGGCCAAAAAAGTGTCCATAATCATCCTTTGGGTATTTAATATATGCTGGGTCTTGTAAACTTAAAAAAGGACTGTGTGTATTAGCACTGTTTGTATGTTTGAAAAGTTTTAAAGTTTGTACCTGTGTATTTGACATGCTTGTCTGTTACTTTATCTCTGTCAACATTATGTGTTTAAGGTGGAAAGAATAAAAGAAAGAGTGGAAGAAAAAGAGGGAATTCCCCCACCACAACAGAGATTGATCTTTAGCGGTAAACAAATGTGAGTGTACATATATTTTGCAGTACTAATTTCTCATACATAACTGACTAAGTGATCAATTAAACATTTACCCTAACAGATTACAATAAAAACGTCTATTGAAGTATTGTGTTTCCAAAATAATATGTTCTGAAACTGCTGTTGAGTCACAGCATTAAGAGAATAGTTAAAACTATTAAATTTACCGGTAAATACAATTTGCATGAAACCATTTTGTATCCAGCTTTCTGGAATATGCTTAGAGTCCAGACAATTTGCAAATAAAAAAAAACAATTCCAAGAGCAAGAAAATCAACTGGAGCTTGACAACACAAAAACATGCATGTCAGAAGGGAATAAACACTTTCTTTTGTTTTAAATAACATAATTTATTAAAGTAATTTCTTCTTAAATGGTTTCAAACTTCTGAATATTTGGCAGCTTGAACAAACAGTGCTTTAAAGAAGTTTTACTATTGTCATCGTGTTTTGAATAAGTTTCACTGTTTGACTTAAGAATTTTGTTCAATTTTAGGAATGATGAAAAGACAGCGGCAGATTACAAAGTGACGGGAGGATCAGTATTACATCTTGTTCTAGCTTTACGAGGAGGAGTGTAGTAGATATGACTCATGCCATCATGTTGTTATGTCATCATGGAACACTATCATCTATTCCACATCTAGGATTGTTATTATAGACCGACGAATATGATTGACAGATAAAATTTATGATACTTTGGGGTAATAAAAGTACTAAAAGTACTTGAATAGTGAAATGTATTATTTGGTATTTGTAACTTTCCAGCATTTTCTTTGAAATATTTGATTTTTTGTGATAAGTACTTTCACCACTATATTAGTTCAGTTTTGATTATGATAAAGAGTAAAGTTTGATCTTTTTGTTTTACTTCTAAATAGTTTTCAAAGAAATTTAAGATTAGGGATATACATTTGAAAGAATGAACTTTCAATTTCTTTTATTGTTTATGTATTAATGTACATTTTTTGTATAAATAATTTAGATTAATTTGTTTTACGTATTTTTTTTGTGTCAGTGTGACTGACCTTTACATCTTGCCACACGTTTTTTATGTAAGGTCGGATTTGATAATAAAAATTACTTTTATTATTAATAATAGGCTTTTTTGTCACCTGCTCAACATAGTGCAGGGGGGATAGAAATAGTTTTAAAGGAGTTATGCCCCTTGGAAATATAATAATATGGTAAATAAAGGGCTTATATTAAAATAAGTTGATGTGATACGATTTGCCAATGAGACAGCTATCCACGTGACACCAAAGGAATGGATGTTAATTATAGGTCACCATACAGCATTCAACAATAAGCAAAACCCAGACCATATCGTGTGCTTCAAATTATTGAAAAACCAACTGCCTGAATTATGACAAAACAAGACATGAAAAATGGCAGACAGCAACCAAAGACAACAACTGAAACCTATATTTCTTGCAATTTTTATGAAATTTATATCAAAGGTTTATATAAGCAATGCCTCGGGTCAGTTCTAAAATAGTGCTGATCAATTATTTTTATAGGAGTTATGTCCCTTGGAAATGTAAATTCTATATGAAATTAAAATGTAATCCCTCTCAAACCTACATTTTGTCAGATTATTAGGAAATTTATATCAAAGGTTTATATTAGATCTGTCTTGGAGTTAAAAAATCACTGACCACTATTTTTACAGGTATAATGCCCCTAGAGATTTTATATTGAAAAATGCATAGGAACTTCAGAAGTGATCTTGCACCATTATTTCTTATAGGATATTTATGAAAAAGTTGAAAAGGACCACCAAAAAAAATGGGAGTTATAGTATCATTGAGTAGATAAAATATGTGCATCAGTATGGGGATGTTGGAGTGTCATTCTTTTAAACTGCTTTACTTTGGCATCTTCAGACTATTTTTAGAAAAAAAATACTTCAAGAACCACTGAACAAATTTTGAATAAATACTAAAGAAGATTCCTCATTTATAGACACTTACTGTTTGTGACATTTGTGCTGCTTGGCTGGAAAATATGATAGTTGGTGGCTTAATTTTACATTTGAGTCTATGGAAAATGTACCAAATCTTCAGTACCTGAGTTGAAATCAGCATGATAAAGGTACCGTTAATAGTGGCGCACAATGAGTTTAAATGCTGTATCTAGTCAGCTTTATGCTGTCCAAGGATGATCGGGAAAAAATTCAGCTCTGACATTGTAAAACACTTAACAAATTGTGAGTTATAGTTCCCTTTTAGGAATATTTTAATTCATGATAAACAAGAATACAAGAGCAGACACTTGGTACTTAAATACATGTATAACAGATTTATAACAGATGTGTGTGTGTGTGGTACTTAAATACATGTATAACAGATGCGTATGTGTGTGTGGTACTTAAATACATGTATAACAGATTTTTAACAGATGTGTGTGTGTGTGTGTGGTACTTAAATACATTTATAACAGATGCGTATGTGTGTGTGGTACTTAAATACATGTATAACAGATGTGTGTGTGTGTGTGGTACTTAAATACATGTATAACAGATTTATAACAGATGCGTATGTGTGTGTGGTACTTAAATACATGTATAACAGATTTATAACAGATGTGTGTGTGTGTGTGGTACTTAAATACATGTATAACAGATTTATAAACGTGTGTGTGTGTGTGTGGTACTTAAATACATGTATAACAGATTTATAACAGATGCGTATGTGTGTGTGGTACTTAAATACATGTATAACAGATTTATAACAGATGCGTATGTGTGTGTGGTACTGAAATACATGTATAACAGATGCGTATGTGTGTGTGGTACTTAAATACATGTATAACAGATTTATAACAGATGTGTGTGTGTGTGTGTGGTACTTAAATACATGTATAACAGATTTATAACAGATGTGTGTGTGTATGGTACTTAAATACATGTATAACAAATTTATAACAGATGCGTATGTGTGTGTGGTACTTAAATACATGTATAACAGATTTATAACAGATGTGTGTGTGTGTGTGTGTGGTACTTAAATACATGTATAACAGATTTATAACAGATATGTGTGTGTGTGGAACTTACAAAAGGGCAATCGAGTCCTCAAAGCATCAGCCACATTTATAAAGATTGCCAAAAATATGTGGTCTTGATGGGTCAGCCGTTTCTACTCTATTAGCAGCTATCTTTGTAACAAGGTAAAACCTGGTGATATGACATATGATCTTGATTTCAGTGGAGGACTGAGTTAACATATGCATTAAATTTTAAATCAACACAATCAAAGTGTTCTTATTTCTGTATAAGAGGGTGCTACTATAAATTACTGAAATGTTCGTGACACTAGTCCCTTTTTCTTGTATAATTATTTGGGAAAAGAATGATGAACTTTCCAGCAAGATATACTAGGACAGAGCATATCTTTTAAATATGTTCTTATAAACTTTCTTACATGCTAAGATATAGGGCATTTTTCCCTTTTTGGAAAGGAGGAGGCTTCATGACATGTCAATCATACAAGTACCTGTGTTATTTTCAATAATAAGCAAATATATTTAAGTCAAAATTTTGGTAGTCCTGTCAGAGAAGACATGAAAAAGCAGGAGTTACAAACTAAAACTCTGTCTTTGTCTTATATAGTTTCTCTATTGTGACAGAATTTGTATGCCCCCCCCCCGTAGCGGTGGGGGCATTAAGTTTTACCCTTGTCCATCTGTACGTACGAACGTCCCAAAATTGGTTTCCGTTTTCTAACTTGAGTTTGCCTCAACCAAATGTTATGTAACTTATACACAATGCTTATTTTTATTTGTAATGTATCCAGACACTACTTAATAACGTAGACCAAACTAAGCAAGCAGATTGACAAAACTAATAACATACATACTTAAATACCAGTAGTATACAGTATAACAACTCTAAAGGTAAAACCTTAATTTTCAATGGTCATTTGTCCAAAATTTTTTCAATCGACATTTGAAGTATTGGGAACTATATTTAAGTGTATGTAGATTATGTGGGAATATGGCTACATATTATTATTACTTTGAGAGGTGATGTCTTAGGGAAGAATTGGAAAAAGTTCAAATCTTTTTAATAAAATGCTCCACTGGGCGCAGCTTGATACGAATACAGAGGTCGAACCCTGAACAGTTGGGGCAAGTATGGACACAACATTCAAGCTTGATACACACTGACTTTTGATTGTGATTAAATATTTGACACAGCATAGGTTTCTGACACAGAATGAATGTGGTCTAAGAACTTATAAATTTTTAATTTACCTATTCAAACCATATCATTATTATTTGCTTTTATATATAAATCAGAAATAACCAATTTAAAATGGAAAATTTTAAAGAAAAAAAAAAGGAAAAAAAAATCCCTCCCCTCAAATTTTTGGAACCCCCTTACGATTCATCAACCCCAAACTCAATCCCAGCCTTCCCTTTGTGGTATGGTACCTTGCAGTACAATTTCAGAGAGATCCATACACTTGAACACAAGTTATTGTCTGGAAACTAGAAAAATGCTTATTTTTGGCCCCTTATTCCTAAATGTTTTGGGCAATTACCCCCAAACTCAATTCCAGCTTTCCCTTTGTGATATGGAACCTTGTAGTACAATTTCAGAAAGATCCATACACTTACACACAAGTTATTGTCATGAAACTAGAAAAATGCTTGTTTTTTGCCCCTTTTTTGGCCCCTAATTCCTAAGATTTTGAGGCAATTACCCCCAAAATCAATCCCATCATTCCCTTTGTTATGTCTGGAAGTTACAAAAATGCTTATTTTTGGCCCCTTATTCCTTAACTGTTGGTACCATAACCCCCAAAATCAATCCCAACCTTCCTTTTGTGGTATTGAACCTTATGGTAAAATTTCATAGAGATCCATTCACTTAAACTAAAGTTAGAGTGCGAAAACCAATGTGTCTTTGGACAACGACGCCAACATCATACCAATATACTACTATGACCGGACTGGATCGCATGTCAATAAGTGGGGGAACTAGCTGTCATTCTGCGACCCAGTTCTGATCATATTATTTTGTAAGGGAACTAACTCTGAATAGTGATGGTAGGGCATAGGTAACGCATTGTCTGGTTTCCTTTAATTTACCGCACAAGAAGTCAATAAAACACTAAGTTTGATGATTGTATATTAATTATTCTCGAACAGATAAGCATTCATATTTACAACACAAGTCACACATGTATACGAATATGCGACTAAGTCACCATGATGTGAACAAAGCCTGAAATTCTCTCATCCTCTAAATTACACAAAGTTAATATATATCCATGTCCCTTTCTAAACCCATTCCCCAAATCTCAATAATCATTTAATGTATATCCTAGTTACTTGACCAATCAAAATACATAACTCCCAAAAAGGGGAGGGTAATCATTTTAATTCTGACTTTTGAACATATGGTCCCTTAGATACCTTTTTATCAATTACAATGTAAAGTTAAAGTATGAATTTTGTAACTAAAATATAACACTTCTATTGTATTTTATCTTAAATAGGAAATAGCTAATTACAGTCTTATTGTAATATTTTGAAGGTGCTAATAGCTTTACCTCAAGTTTACCTTAATCCCTAATCCAGAATTAAGAAAGACAGTCTAATTATGTTTTCTTTGAGATGTGAATTATAATTTATTTGCAATAAGCCCTTACTGAGTTTTGACATGTTGATATTCTAACACTTTAATTCATCCTAAAAGTAATAAAGAAAATATAGATTTATATAATATTTTAAACAAAACTATTCAAAAATATTGCTAAGGAAAAATACCTCATTTTTCCTTGGTGATATACTCTCCCTTCTTCCAAAAAAGATTTTTTTTTTTTTAAAGAAAGAAGAAGAAAAAAAAAATCTTTTCATATATGTACATAATATATAGAATACATGGCAACAAACATTATTTAACTTAACATTATATCCTTGCATGGCAAAGCAAATTATTTAAACAATAGTTAAAATACCATCATTTGTGAAAGTAAACA